TGATACGCCATTTCGTTGGTAAAGAAGCGAACAGCACCCGGCCCAGACAAGGTCAGATCTGAACACTTGAAGAATCTGCCATCAGTACTCATCAATACACTGGCTCGGCTCTTCACATGCTACCTTTTAAAAAATAAATTTCTTTTTTGATTTTTGAACCACATCTAGCAGTGCTCACAGGCTATTCCTGGCTAGCTCTGTGCTCAGGAGTGACTCCCGTTAGTGCTTAGGGGACCATATGTGGCGCCAGGGATTGAATCAGGGGTCTGCCACATGCAAGGCCAAGTGCCTTCATCCCTGTGTTGTCTACACATGCAGCCCTGAACACGTCTTTTCCTTTTTTTTTTTCCGCTTTCATTTTCTTTCCTGTGATTTACAATGCTGTCACTGACAGGGCTGCGTGTGTGCAGCATTCCATCATCACACTCGCATCAGTGTCCATTTCCCTCCACCATTGTCTCAGGGTCCCTTCCTCAACCCCTCCCCCCTCCATGCACACCTATTATCTCAGTTGTGGTGCTTGTACACACTTAGCTGTGGTATCAGGAATCCCAAAGAGAATTGTTTCTGGGGTGTTAGTTGACATTAAGGGCAGCATTCATGCCTGCAACTCAGTGCTCGACCACTGAGTGAGCCACAGACCCTGTCTTGGGCATTTATAATTCATTAGGCACTTGACCTATAACAAATGCTTGTTATTTTTCCCTTTTGTTTCAGAGCCACACCCAGCTGTGTCTCAGGGCTTACTCCTGACTCTGTGCTCATAGATTATTCCTGACTGCACTTGGAGTACCAATATGGGGTACCAATATGGGGTGTCAGAGATGGAACCCAAATCAGCTCCATGCAAGACAAGTGCCCTACCCACTGTACTATCTCTCCAGCCTCTTCAAATGCTTTTTGTGCTGCCAGCTTATCCTCAGAGAAAATATGTGCGGGAAAGAATGTTATTCAAGTTGACGGAGAGAAAACCATGTCTGAGTGAGGGGCTCTCTGGAGGCACATGATGAGGCTGCCGAGTTTCCAGCTTGAACCTGCTGCTTTCAATCCTTCAAAACTGAGGACTGGAGAGATAGTACAGTGGGCAGGGTGCTGGCCTTGCATATGGCCAACCTAGGTTTGATCCCTGGCCCCCTATCTGGTACCCCAAGAATTATCAGGCGTGATCCCTGAGTGCAGAACCAGGAGTAAGCCCTGAGCACCACTGAGTATGGCCCATGAATCTATAATTTGGCCCCCTTTTTTCCGTTTAAGCCAGATGCAGTGACTCTCAGGGGCCACTCCTGGCAGTGCTCAGGGACCATGCAGTGCCAGGGGTGAAACCACATATAAAGCATACACTCCAGCCTTAGAGCCTTCGAGCCTTCTCTCCAGCCCCTATGAAACACCATTTGGCAGCCCTGCCAGCCTAGTTTTTTTTTTTTTTTAACACTCGGTAGCGATAGCACAGCGGGTAGGGCGTTTGCCTTACAAGCGGCCAACATGGCCGGCCCGAGTTCGATTCCTCCGCCCCTCTCGGAGAGCCCGGCAAGCTACCGAGAGTATTCGATATGCCAGACACAGTAACAACAAAGTCTCCAATGGAGACGTTACTGGGCCCGCTCGAGCAAATCGACGATCAACGGGAGGGCCTTTACCTTTACCTTTTTAACACTCGGTGGTGCTCAGGGGACCATATGAAATGTCAGGGATTGAACCTGGATCAGCTGCATGCAAGGCAAATACCCCTACCCACTATTATTGCTCCTTCCCTATCCCCCCCAATTTTTTTTGCTCATTGTCCCTCAGTTTAGTTCCAAGCGTGGCTTGTCAGCAGGAAACAGGGGGACTCAGTGTTGTTTCCCACGAGAGGGTTTGATGAAGGGGCTCTTCCTGGGGGCGTGGGCAGGAAGGGCTGAGCCCCTGGGACAGTCCTCATACTTACTTCCCCCAGTGAAGAGATGGGGAAGGAGTGTTGTGGTGAGCCTGCAGGACTCAGGCCCCCCAACAGGGTCTGCGGTTTCAGGGCCAGGAGGATGTCAATGTGTTGGGGGGGGGGAAGCTCTCATGTTCTCACTCTCCTCTCTTCATCTCATCTCCTGCCAGGGTCTCCCTTTGGTGAGCATCACCTGAAACTCTGGAGCAAAGGGTCTGGGGGAGATTGGCAGCAGGACTGAGCCTCAGGACACGACACGCACAGGACAGAGAAGCCGGAAAATGGAGTTTAGGCTGTGGGCATCCTGCCAGTGGCTCCTCCTTGCTTCTGGGGCCTGGCTTTGGCTTTGGGGAGAGGCTGAGGGAGGAGGCTGGCTCGGCTTTCTGTTTGGTAAGGTGGCGGGGTACAGCCAGGGATGCTCAAGGGTCTCTCCTGACTCTGCACTCAGGAATTACTCATGGTGGTTTTCAGGGGACCTTATGGGAAGCCGGGGATTGAACCCAGGTCAGTCACGTGCAAAGCAAGTACCCTGTTCTCGCTTCTCGCTCTGGCTTGACTTTAAAAGCTGTTGGTGCCTTCAGCTTTTTTTGTCTTTCAGGCTGGGCTACTCTGTACCCCAGTGCTAGAGTCCCCTCACCACCCCCAACATACCCTCCCCCCCCCACACACACACTTCTTTGTTGTCTGCGATGATCCCTGCTGTAGCTCAGCGATTGGCTTATTCTCTGCACAGGCTGGTCTCCCCAGGAGACAGTTCTAGTATTTTCTATCTACACCCTGAGCAATTTGAAGGCAGAGGACTGAGCCAAATAAGGCCTTCAGCTCTGACACAGGGCCCAGTGCGGACTAAGTGGCAACGTTTGCCAAGTGAACTGACTCCTGCATCCTCGCTTACGTCACTCTGCCGTGGCAGACCCAACCTGGGCACCCGTGTGTCTGCCTCCCTGAGTCCATGGGCTCCGTGGTGGGGAGAAGCAAACAGCCAACATCAAACGTGACCTGCATTGGCCAGGACCATCTCACTCCCTTCCTTTAACAATTTACTGGTGAGGAGCCACACCCAGTGGTAATCGGGGTTTAGTGTTTGGACATCACTCCTGGTCGTGCTCCAGAGACCATGCGGTGGTTGCTGGGAGTACTGGAGGTAAAACCTGGACCTGGGCATGCAAAGCTACCTTCAAATGTTCTGAGCTCCTACTATGTACCAGGTCTTGTAGACACATCAGGGAAGAAGACAAAGTGCCAGCCCTCACAGGGCTTCCACTCTAGTGGTGGAAGCGGTGAAGAGGGAATTGGAAATGACACCAGTGCAGACGTGAACAGGCGATGCCGAAGAGAAAGCAAACCAGGTGACGTGGGAGATGCTTAGAGGCAGGAGCGCAGCCCTGTACCTGGCACTGATGGTCCCCTGAGCACTGAGCTTGGAGTAGCCCCAGAACTGCTGCATATGACCCTCCACAACAAAAGGAAAAGGTGACAATAAATGATTAGTGGGTGGATGTTTGTGTGTACATGTGTGCATGTGTATGCGTGCATGTGTGCATCTGTGTGTGTGTGTGCGTGTGTGTGTTTTGGGAGGGAGCTTCCTCAGGGAAGGCTTTTTTTCTCCTTTTTGGCTTTTGGGTCACACCAAAAACACGATGCTCAGTGGCTACTCCTGGCTCTGCACTCAGGAAATACTGCTGGCAGTGCTCGGAGGACCATATGGAATGCTGGGGATCAAACCCAGGTCGGTCATGTGCAAAGCAAGTACCCTGCCCGCTGTCCTGTGGCTCAGGCTCGGGAAGGTCTTTCTCAGTAGATGCGGGGATGTGGAGCACTGGAAGGGTGTTGAAGGTGGAGGAGCAGCAAGAAGAACAAGGATCAGAAGGAAAAGAGTTTCTGGGACTCAGGGTTTTCCCTGTTTCTGCCTATAGGAGGGTTTACTGGGTGCTGAGAAGCGGCACAGGGTTTAGTTTTGGGGACCTCCCAGGCCAGCTCTCTGGTTGGGGGGCTGAGGATGAGTGATGGCCCTTAGTACCAGCAGCTTCCCTGCCTGTTGCCTGGCACCCTGGGCCATCGCAGCTGGCAGACTGCTTCCCCCACCCCTGACTGCGGCAGCTGTTAAAGGACCAGCAGCTGAAGCTCTGCCAACCTCCTCCCAGAATATTTCAGGGGTAAGTCAGAAAACCCCAGCAGTCTCGCAAACCAGACTTTTTCTCCTGCATCCCTTACAAGGGTGGATTTGGCTGCTGGGCTCCTCGCCCACCCCCTGCCTCAGGCAGGAAGAAATACCAGCCCCGGATAAATGAGCTCATCCACTCAGGTCCTGGCAGCGACGTGCCCCTCCAGCTGCAAGCGCCCCTCCTCGCCCACTGGTCCCAGAGGCCACGAGTGCCGGCTCGGATTCCAGCCACACCATCAATGCCCACACCAGACCCAAATCCCACTGCCCAGAGTCACGAGGGACACCCCTGCCCCCAGTTAGTCCCTCCACCTGCCGCACCCATGAACAGTTACTTGGTGTCCATACAGCTGGTAGAGGCCCCCTGACCTCCCGATTTCATGGGGACAAGGCACCCCCAGTCCGTGCTGCGGAGTGTGTGTGGGGTGTGATTAAACGTCCTGTGTTCCTGGGTGATGGAATCAAAGACCTCCCGAAGGGCGAGGGGCCAAGAGTTGCCAAGAGCAGCGGCCAGGGTCCAGGACCTGAGCCCACCGCAGGGCGGAGCTCGGGACATGGCCAGACCCAGGTGTGGACCGCAGCACGGGCCAGGGCAGGGGGTGGAAAGCGGGGTTCCCCAGGGGCCGCCCCCACCGCACCGGCTGGCCCTCGCGGCGCCCAGGCTCCGAGTGTCCCCTGGCACCCGGGGCGTGGCCGTTACCCTCCCCCCCAAGCCCTGCGCGACAGCTGCGGCTGCTGGGGGCCGCGCGGGTGGCCAGCGGCGGGCGCCCCACCCTCCCCCCGCACTGGGGGGCGAGGGCGCCCGGCCCCTCCCCGACACCCAGGGCCCGCGGGGCGCGGCGAGCCGCCGCGCCCCTCGGGCCCCCCCACCCCGCCGGGGCCGGTGGAGAGGGAGAGAAGGTTCGGGAAGGTGGCGCCCCCGCGCCGCGGGTCCCGCACGGGCCGCCGCCCCTCCCCTCCCCCGCGCGGCGCGGGGCCAAGTGGGCGCGCCCGGCGCGCGGATCCGGTGTCGGCTGCAGCTGGCGGTGCGGCGGGCCCGGCTATTAATAACGCGGCGGCCGAGCCGGGGTCGCGCAGCCATGGCCAGCCCGGAGCCCGGGCGCGGCGGGGACGGCGCCGCCCGGGCCGCGAGGTAGGACGCGGCCCGCCCCCTTGGGGAGGGGGTGCCGGGCGCTCTCCCCGCCCCTCCCCCCGCGAGCACCTTTACCCTGGGGGCCGGGGTGGGGGCGGGGGCGGTGGTCTAGCCGGGCCGGGGCACCGGGGGAGCGAGCCACGGGCCGCGGAGACCGGGAGTCCTGGGTCCGGCCACCTCGGCTGGTCAGTGGCTGCATCATCTTCCCCTCTGTCCGCCCGCCGCGGCCAGGCGCGGCCGGACTGGCGGCGTCCGCTGGGTTTCTTCCTTCCGCGCCCGGAAAGTCCACTGGGCAGGGAGACCCCCCACCCCCACCCCGGTCGCTAAGCTCTGAATCCTGGGGCCCAAGGCATTTGGTGGAAGCTGGCTGGGGCGGCGACCAGCTTGAAACCAGAGGCCGTCCAGTCTCCGGTCTGGACCTGGGTTTGGGGGGCGAGGGAGAGAGACTGCATTCCCAGGGCAGGGTCCCAGAGGGGACCCTCGCCCCAACCACACATAGCCACCCCATCTTGGTTCAGGAGGAAGGGACCTGTGGCTGAAGGGTTTGAGGGGACTGGGGAGCCCTCCTGTCGGTCCCAGGGCAGACTGGCCCTGAGCCTTCCCGGTGCCCAGGGAGAGGTGCTCATAGCCCCACCGTGAGTCCCCGTTCACTGTCACAGCACAATGCTGGGCATGTTTTCACTCAGCCATGCATCCATGCCACCCTCCCCCCAACCCCCCACACAGAGAGACACATGCACACTCACACACACACACACAACTCATGCCTGCACATTGTCACGGACACTTCAGCCGCTGGAAAGAGCTGGGAGCTGGGGACAGAGTGGCAGAGGCAGGCTGCCTGAGGTCAGGGGCTCCCTCGACCCTCCGGTCTTTGGAAAGGCAAAACCTGGCAGAGGCCTGGCATGAAGGGTGGGTGACGAGGCAGCATGGTGTGTGGTCACACGGCAGGAGGCCTGGGTTCTACTTCCAGCTTGGCCACTCGACCTTGGGCAAGCTTCCTCCTTGGATCTCAGCTCCTTTCTAGCCTGCCTTCCAGAGAGCCCCACCCTGCGATCTAGGGAGAATAGTCATCCTCGTCCTGCAGGGGGACAGACACGCACACTTGTCACAAAGCTGCATGCAAAGTGCCCTGCGGGTGCCAGGTGGGGGGCTGTCTGGGAAGCAGCTCACCAAGGAGACGGAAGCTGAGCTGGGCTGGAAGAAGACATTTGTTAGGTAGACAGATTTTGGGGGATGCCATGCGCGACAAGCTCCATTATACACTCCAGGTTCTACCTCTGGTAGACCTCGAGCCTGGCCTAGGGAGGACAGGGGAGCAAGAAGTCAGGCTGGAGCTTAGGAGCCATAGTGGAACTGTGCTTGCCCTTTGGTTTCCTCATGGGTGAGAAGGGGATACTCAAGCACAACAGAAATGAGTATTCAAGGGAAAGGCTCAGTCCTGATATAAAGCTGAAAAAAAAAAAAAGTCTGTGCTGCAAACCAATGCTGCTTTATTAAAAACATTTTTAGGGGGCTGGAGCCATAGTACAATGGGTAGCTCACTTGCCTTGCATGTGGTCAACCCAGTTCAATCCCTGGCACCCCATATGGTCCCCCAAGTCTGTCAGGAATGGTCCCGGAGAGCAGAACTAGGAGTAAACTCTGAGCACTGTTGGATGTGGCTGCAAAGCGAATAGCAAATCAGCCACAACAAATGAAAAACCCATAAAAAAAAAAAGAACTAAAAATATTGAAAAAACACCGTTAGAATTCTTTGCTGTCACTCCAGATGTAAGGGACTGTCTGCTGGGTAAGCCAGTCTCCAGAGCATCTGGGTGGGGTGCCAGTTCTCCCTACCCAGGGGTTACAGACGGTGTACAGTGAGCTCAATTGTCCCCAGCAGGGTCTTGAACATTGTGGGCTGCGAGTAGGAGGGCTAGCGCATGCTCTGAGTGCTTAAGCATCAGGTGGGCTATGGGAAGTAAAGTGAGATGGCGCTGAAAGGCAACACTCAGGCCTCATCCTTTGTTGTTGGTTTGTTTGGGTCACACCCCATGGTGCTCAGAGGCTGCACCTAGCAGTGCTGGGGGATCATATGCGGTGCAGAAATTCAAACCAGGGTTGCAGCCGCTGCCCCACGCTAGGCAAGTGCCCTAACCTCTGCACTATCTCTCTGGCCCTGGAGCCTCATCTCTATGTTTTGATTTTTAATTTATCTTTTGGTTTTGAAGCCCATACTCAGTGGTGCTCAGGGCTTACTCCTGGCTCTGTGCTCAGGAATTATCTCTGGTGGGCTCACGTGACTATGTGGGATGCTCAGGATCAAATTCAGGTCAGCTGTGAGCAAGGCAAGCCCTCTATCCAATGTACTCCAGACTCTGGGGTCTCATCTCTAACGGCCTTCAGTCTATGTTCTGCACTGGCTATCTGTCACACTCTAGAGAATAAGACTGGGTTGGGAGAAGAAAAGGTCTGTTAGTACAAAAGTGTGGGTGTGAGCTGGAGAGGGGACTCCAAGAGCTGAGTGCATACACTGCTTAACAAGAGGTCCAGGGTCAGAGTGATAGCACAGCGGGGAGGGTGTTTGCCTTGCACGTGGCAGATCTGGGTTCGATTCATGGCATCCCATATGGTCTCCCGAGCCCTGTGAGGAGTAATTCCTGAGTGCAGAGCCAGGAGTAACCCCTGAGCATCACTGAGTGTGACCCAAAAAGAAAACAACAACAAAAACACCCAAGAGGTCTAGATTCAATTCTCAGCACTCTGTGGTATACCCTGTGCACTCATGGAGAATAGCCCCATGGTGTGTGCCCTGAAAGAAAAAAAGGTGCAGATGAGACTATATTATCTGGACCCTGGCTCTATGATGGAGACTAAAGATTCCTAGGAAGGTCATTTCTCAGGGAGGGAGAATCGCCTGTAGACTTCTTGCTTAGTAATCCTAAGGTGGCCTACGGAAATGGGTTTGCTGAGCAGGAATCCTCCAGGTGCAACAAACTTGGGGAGGATCATTTGGGGACAACTGACTTTCAGGTGAAATATCTAAAAATATTTCCTCTCAGGTAAAATGCTGTGAATGGACTTGGTGATGGCTGAGGTTGTCTTTAAGATTTTAACTTTGTTGCAGGTGTGTGTTTGAAGCAGGCCAGTGATTTCTGGGATGAGGTGAAGACACTCTTTTTCCCTTTTAAGTAGAAGTCAGATGTATTGATGCTGGGTCTGGTACCGCAGGTCTAAAGGTTTGGTGGCTAAGAGCCACCAGGGCTCCAGCCTGCAGTGCTGGGGATGGAACTCAGGGCCCTGTACAAATCAGGTGTGTGCTCTCCCACCTGAGCTGTCTCCCTGGCCTGAAGACACATGATGATGGTTTCTGGAAAGCCAATAGGGAAGGGAAGGGAAGCGAAGCTAGGGAAGCTAGGGATTCTTGGTGTCAGGAAGATGGAGTACACAATTACTTAGAATAAAAACAATCTTTATCGGGAACTGAGTGAAGAAAAAAAAGAACTTAAAATCTGTAGACAGGGGCTGGAGTGATATTACAAGCAGGTAAGGTACTTGCTTGCCTTACATGTGGCTGACCCAGGTTCAATCTCTGGCATCCCATATGGTCCCCTGAGCCCTCCAGCCCTCTGCATTCAGGAATGCAGAGCCAGGAGTAACCCCACCCTGAGCATTACCAGGTGTGGCCCAAAAAAGCAAAACCAAAAATCTGGAGACAGGATAGCTCTGCAGGCTGTGTTCTCTCTTGAGCACATCTCTCCCTTGCTTATCTGTCTCTTTGCTTCCTTGCTCCTTCAAGTCCTTCCTTCCTTCCTTCCTTCCTTCCTTCCTTCCTTCCTTCCTTCCTTCCTCCCTTCCTCCCTCCCTACCCCCTCTCCATTCTTTCTTAGCTTTTGGGCTGTACTTGGCAGTGTTCAGGGGTTACTCCCAGCTGCACTCAGGAGTCACTCCTGACGGGCTTGGAGGACCATATGGGATGCTAGGAGTCAAACCCAGGTTGGCCTCATGCACGGCAAGCGCCCTACCTGCTGTACTCTCTTTCTGGCTCTCTGTATTTCCTTTTTAATATGTATTCCTTTTCTTTTCATCCTTGCATCTAAGTTTCATTTAATAAAAACCATCTTGCTTCACTTTTAAAAAGAACCTGAAGACAAGTAGGCCTTTTTCAAGACAGACAGTCAAGGGACTGGAGAGATGTTATGTCTGGTAGGGCACTTGTCTTGTACATGGTCCATCAGGTTTGAGCTCCAGCACCACATCCAGCCCCTCCCCCACCCCCCCAAACCCCACCAGAGTGATTCCTGAGTGCAGAGCCAGGAGGAAGCCCTGAACACTGCTGGGTATGACTCCAAAAGACAGCCAAGGAGGGCCTAAGAAGCAGAAGGAAATTCAGAACTGATTAATAGGTAGTGTCAGATTTAAGAATCATAACATCTAGAGGGTACTGGAAAGATAGTACAGCGGGTAGGGCATTTCCTTTGCATGTGGCCAACTTGGGTTTGATCTCCAGCACCTCATATAGTCCCCTGGGTCCCATGAGCACGCCCAGGGTAATTCTGAACACAGAGCCAGAAGTAATCCCTGAGCACTGCAGAATATGTTCCCCACCCTCCAAAGGAAAAAATCACAAAGTCTAGGTGACTGAAGAGACAGTAAATGTACTTGCCTTACACTTGCAGCACAGAGCCAGAAGTAAACCCTAAGCACAGCCAGGGGTGGCACAAAAACCAAAAGAAAAAAAAAATCACAATGTCAGGACATGGGATGTGGTTCAGTGGTAGAGCACTTGCCTTACATGTTTGAGGTCCTGGTTTGATCCTCGGCGTTGTGGGGAGTAACCCCAAGCATTGAGCTGAGAATTATCCCTGGGCACTGCTTGGTTATGACCCAAAAACCAGGTTTAAAAAAAGAAACAGGGGTCACAGTGACAGCAGGTAGGGTGTTTGCCTTGCTTGCGGCAAACTTGGTTTGGCAATCCCTGGCACCAGTACAGTTCCCTGAGCCCACCAGGCATGATCCCTGGGCGCAGAATCAAGAGTAAGCCCTGAAGGGCTAGAGTGATTCGCAAGTGGCCGATCTGGGTTCGATTCCCAGCATCCCCTATGGTCCCCTGAGCACCCCTGTGCATCGCCAGGTGTGAGCCAAAAGGCAAAAAAAAAAAAAAAAGAGTAAGTCCGGAGCATTGCAGGGTATGGCCCCAAAGCAAAACATGACTTCAGAAGACTTTTTTGTTTTGCTTTTTGGGGTCATACCAAGTGATGCTCAGGGATTACTCCTGGCTCTGCACTCAGGAATTACTTCTGGCAGTGCCCGGTGGGAGGGCATAAGGGATGCCAGGGATCAAACCCAGATCTGCTGCATGCAAAGCAAATGCTCTACTATCCCTCTGGTCCCTGAATTCAGAAGCCTTTGACATGCTTGATAGAGGACAAACTTACCTGTCCTACTGTTCCCTTTCCAGAAAAAAAAAATTACTCAATTCACCCCTGAAATTTTCTTTCTCTTTCCTTTTTCTTTCTCTTTTCCTTCTTTCTCTTTCCCTTCCTTCTTTTTTTTCCCCCCAATTTGCAGTGCTTGGGGGACCAGATGTAGGGCTGAGGCTTGAACCAGGATTGGCTGCATGCAAGTAAGAGCCTTAACCCTGAACAATAATCAATGGTATCCTCCCACAACTCTTTTTTTTTTGGGGTCACACCCGGCAATGCACAGGGGTTACTCCTGGCTCTGCACTCAGGAATTACTCCTGGCGGTGCTCAGGGGACCATATGGGATGCTGGGATCGAACTCAGGTTTGCCGTGTGCAAGGCAAACGCCCTACCCGCTGTGCTATTGCTCCAGCCCCTCCCACAACCCTTTTTAATTTTGCTTAAACACCAGGATTTACAAAGTTGTTCATAATACAGTTGATTTGGGCATTCACTGTTCCAACACCGATCCCACCACCAGCATGACCTTCCCTCCATCATTGTCCCCAATTTCCCATCCACCCCTCAGGCCTCCCCCTTAGCAGGCACAAAATGGCTTGTTGCTTGTTACTACAAAATGAAAAATGAAACGACCAAAAGTTCAGGAAAATTCGTGAAAATTGTTATATCTGACAATGGTGTTATTAAAGTCATCTTATCAGGATTTACTGAGCTGTTTGTTGCTAGTTGAGCCTTCTGTGTCATTCGACTGAGCTTAGTTGGCTTCTATGCTCTAATTTCGTGTGCTCCTACTGGGCTGTCAATATTATGGAACTTGGTGCACTCCAGGGCCACTGTTTACATGGCAGTGATGTGGGATGTCAGTCTCTCTGATCCCCTTTTAAAACATTTTTGTTTGCTTTTTTTAAAAAATGTAGCAGTACTGATATTTATTCAACCATTAAGCTGATTGAATTGGGCATGAACTCCACATTACTTTAAAAAAATTCTTTTGGGGGCTGGAGAGATAGCACAGCGGGTAGGGCGTTTGCCTTGGACGCAGCCGACCCAGGTTCGATTCCCAGCATCCCATATGATCCCCTGAGCACTGCCAGGAGTCATTCCTGAGTGCAGAGCCAGGAGTAACCCCTGTGCATCGCCGGGTGTGATCCAGAAAGAAAAAAAAATCCATGTGGGCCAGAGCCATAGTATAGTGGGTAGGGCGTTTGCCTTGAACACAGCCGACCTGGGTTCAATTCCTCCGCCCCTCTTGGAGAGCCCGGCAAGCTACAGAGAATATTCTGCCCGCACGGCAAAGCCTGGCAAGCTACCCGTGACGTATTCGAGATGCCAAAAACTGTAACAAGTCTCACAATGGAGATGTTACTGGTGCAAATCGATGAACAAAGGAGGACAGGACAGGAATATCCGTGATAGACCATTACAAAGCTGTTCACAACTGGGTTTCAGTCTTACAATGATCCAGCACCAATCTCTCCACCAGTGTACATTTCCCGCCAGCAATGTCTGTGTCCCTCCAATTTCCCCCAACACCCCACCCCCCACCTCCATGGGGGGCACTTTCCTTCTTGCTCTTTTTCCTTTTGTGCACTATGGTTTGCAATACAGGTGCTAAGAGGTCATGGTGTTTGTTTAGGGCATTCTGTATTTTTATTAGGATGGTAAAGCTGAAGTGCTGAAGTAGCTTTTTAATTGGGTGGCAGCTCTCAGCTGTGGGTGGCAGCTCTGAGCTGTGCATGTGACTGCCGAGGTTTCTGAAAAGTACAGGGAGGTGTGGGAAGGTCGCCCATCCCTACACTGGGAAAGTCTAGCAATTTGTCACAAAACCCGCATACCTGAATTTTCAGCAGATTATATCTTGGTGAGGTCTGTCCTGAGACGGTGGAGTCAGGCCAGGGGTATGGTGGTGATCTTGGATTATGGAAGCAAGCGGCTGCCAGGGGCTCTGCTTGGGTGGCCTCCAGGCTGACCCGCCCTCCTCTGATTTACCCAGGTATGTTCAGCCATGAGTGGGTCCGAAATTAACTGTGGCTTTTGATCTCTATTAATTTATAGGTCTCTGAAATAAGACCAGTGAGTGAGTGAGCTTGTATGGCTGAGCCAGAGGTAGTTTGTGGGAATGGCTCCTACATACATTTTTGCCATTTAATTTCTTGGGAAACTTGGTCCCAAGTTGTTGGGGTCTGGCCAAAGGCACAGTGGCAATTTTGGGCTATCAGGAAGTCTGAAGGCACTATCAGGCTCCTGATACAGTCGCCTCGCAGGCAGAGGTTGACCTGCTGGTGGCACCACACTTCCATAATTTACTTGTTTTGTTTTTGGGTGACACCCAGCAGTACTCGGGGGACTATATGGAATGCCAGCAAGCACCGAACCCAATTTACTATCACTCTGGCCGTTGTTTTCTGTGCCACACCCAGCAATGCTCAGGGTTTATTCCTGACTTGGCGCTAGGTTTCACTCCTGGTGGTACTCAGGGGACCATATGGGATGCCAAGGATTGAACCCAGGTTGGCTGCATGCAAGGCACATTTCCTACCTGCTGCACTCTCTCTGGTCCCTGAACAAAAGAATTTTGTTTTGGGATCACAATTAGCAGTGCTCATATATGATGCCAAAGATTTAACTGTGATCAGCTGTACGCAAGGCAAGCATCTTAATCCCTGTATTATCTCTCCAGCTTCTGAATACTAGTAGAATGACAATAGAATCGTGATGGCTCAGGTATGAGCTTCCTGACCTTGTAGATATGGAAACCAGACTAGGCACTGGCATGGGATGTTGTCAGGGGATCTAAGCTATAGGCTGGTGTGGGAATAGACTGATGGAGAGAAGAGAGCACAGAGATACCAAGATGTTAGAAGCTGGCATTATGTAGGTCTGTGGCTCTAGGAAAAAAATCATCCTTGGCTGTGGATACCCTCTCACTTCAGTAATTTCTCTTGCAGGGGAACAAGAGCTGAGGCCAGTTCTCCTCATGAGGAGAACTCTGAATCCCTGAATGAGGAAAGGACCTTGTATCCAGAAGTTACTTTCCCTTTGGAGGGGAATTTGAACTTAGAGGACATTTTCTACCTGGGGGGATCAGGTGATTTTGATGAGATACTACATGTGGAAGAGACCAAGAGACCCGTGGAGCCACTGTATATTGAGGAGACCAGACAGCCAGATGAGGCCCTGTGTATTGAAGAGACTGTGAAACAAGAGGATACACTGTCTGTGGAGGATGGTGTGAAGCCTGAGAGACAGTCTGTGGAGACTACGACCCCAAAGGACACAGAGTCTGTGGAGAAGAATGTGAAACTAAAGACACAGTATGGGGAGGAAGCTGTGAAGCCTGAAGAGACACAGTCTATAAAGGAGACTGTGACGCCAGAAGAGACACTGTCTGTGGAGGAGACCGTGACGTCAGAGGAAACACAGTCTGTCAAGGAGACTATGATGCCAGAGCAGACACTGTCTGTGGAGGAAGTTGTGAAGCCAGGGGAGACACTGTCAGTGGTGGAGACTGTGACTCCAGAGGTGATACAATCTCTGGAAGAGACTGTGAAACCCAAGAAGATATTGTCTGTGGAGGAGATTGTGACTCTAGAGAAGATACAGTCTCTGGAGGAGACTGTGAAGCCCAAGGAGATACTATCTGTGGAGGAGATCATGATTCCAGAGGAGATACAGTCTCTGGAGGAGCCCAGGGAGATACTGTCTGTGAAGGAGATTGTGACTCCAGAGGAGATACACTCTCTGGAGGAGACTGTGAAGCCCAAGGAGATAGTGTCTGCTGTGGAGGAAGCTCTGAAGCCAGAGGAGACACAGTCTATAAAAGATCCCATGAAATCAGAAAAGACAAGCCCAGAGATCACTGATGGAGAGACAGGCACAAGTGAGGAGAAACTGAGCCCTGAGGAAAGCCCCCGAGTTGAGTCAAGCCCCTCCACTGAGGAGAGCCTGAGTGTGGAGGATCTGGAATTGCTGGAAGGCCGTTTCCAGCAGTGTATCCAAGCCGTGTCCCAGCTGGAAGAGGAAAGGGATCAGCTTGTTCATGAGCTAGTGTTGCTCCGGGAACCAGCCCTCCAGGAGGTGCAGCAAGTCCATCAAGACATCCAGGCGGCCTACAAGCTGCATGCCCAAGCAGAGCTGGAGAGAGACGGGATAAGGGAGGAGATCCGGCTGGTCAAGCAGAAGCTATTCAAGGTGACAAAGGAATGTGTGGCCTACCAGTACCAGCTGGAGTGCCGCCGGCAAGACGTGGCCCACTTTGCTGAATTCCAGGAAGTGCTGACTACGCGGGCAGCGCAGCTCTCGGAAGAGCTGGCCCATCTCAAGGAGGCCTATCTGAAGCAGAAGGAGCTGTTACAACAACAACTAGAGGCACCGCCAAGCCAGAGGGACGGGCACTTTCTCCAGGAGAGCCGGCGGATCTCTGCACAGTTTGAGAACCTCATGGCAGAGAGCCGCCAGGGCCTGGAGGAGGAGTATGAGCCTCAGCTGCTGCGGCTCCTTGAGCGGAAGGAAGCTGCTGCCGAAGCTCTCCAGAAAACCCAGGCAGAGATCCAGGAGATGAAGGAGGCTCTGAGACCCCTGCAAGCAGAGGCCCAGCAGCTCCACCTGCAAAACCGAAACCTGGAGGACCAGATCACACTTGTGAGACAAAAGCGAGACGAGGAGGTGCAGCAGTACAGGGTAGGTCTGTCCACAGGGCGGGAGACTGACTGCTCCGGTAGGCTGCAGGAGGACAAGATGACCAAGTCAAAGGTTCTCTGAATGAAGGATACATGCTAGTTGTAGGAGGAATGACTGTGTGTGTGGCTCAGCTGTAGTGTGGCTCCCGAAAATCAGGATTAAGTTACCTATTTACTTAGTACAGAGCACTTTTACATGTGATCTCATTTGATCCTCTCATTAGTCCCAAGTATTATATAGGTAAAGAAATTGAGTTGGAATAACTGGAAACCTGGTCTGACCAACCCCAAACATCTTGGGGCTATTTCCATGATTTTCCAATTCCGGGTAACATGAAGTTGGAGTTAGTACAGTGGGTATGATGCTTGACTTGCATGTGGTTGACCTGGGTTTGATCCCTATCATTCCATGTGGCCCTTTCCCCAGGGCCACACCAGAAGTGATCCCTGAACAGAGCCAGAATTAAGCTAGGTGTAGGCCAAAAGTCAAATGTTTCAAAACCAAGCAACACTTGGTTCAGAGGGAGCATTAAGGGCCAGAGCTATAGTACAGCAGGTATGGTACTTGCCTTGCATGCGGCCAACATGGGTTCAATGCCAGCATCCCATTTCATATTCATATATCTGACTGTGAGTTAGTTAGCACTGGCATATTATTTTACATATATTTGCCACTCAGGCTCAGAGCATACATCATTTAAGTCCTGACTTAATTGTTGCTGGGGACTGAACAAAGTGAGTTATGTGCTCTGCTATGGAGCAAAATCCCTAGCACATTTAGGGCATTTATTTCTTGGGGTCTCTCTCAGTGCTGGGGAATCAAACTCAGAGCCTCTAGAAGCTAGGTAGCATAGGAGTTAAGGTGCTCACTTTGCATGTGGCCAACCCTGCTGGCCAACACCACGTATGGTGCCCTGAGTACCACCAGGAGTGAACCCTGAGCAGAGCCTGGAATAGCCCCTAGGCACTTCTTAATGTGTGCCCTTCCCCCGCAAACAAAAACAAAAAATGAAACACTGCCTCTGTACCTCCAGGCATGTGTTCTAGACCTCTAGCAAGTCCAAAGACAGTTATCTTGCTTTTTATTGGGTTTTGAGATTACACTTGGTGATGCTGGGGGTGAAGGATCCATTGGGGGTACTCAGGGTATCATGTAGTGGCAGAAATGGAACCTGGCCTCCTGAACGCAAATCATGCACTCCAGTTGTTTGAGCTTTCTTTGAAGTCAACTGAAACCTTACATCCTTAAAACATATCCCTCTGCCAAACTGGCTATAGTCACTTCCTTCCATGGTACCTGCAGCTTGTATTATGAAAACTGTGTGTGTGTGTGGGGGGAGGGGGTGAGGAGGGGGATGGAGGGTGTTGGAACAATAGTACAGTGAGTAGGGCACTTGCATTTTGTGTGGCCAACACAGGTTCAGTTCCCCACATCCTGTATGGTCCCCAGAGCACTGCCAGGAGTAATTCTTGTGTGCAGAGCCAGGAGTAACCCCAGAGCATTGCTGGGTGTTGCCCAAAGACGAACCAAATAGTGGGAGGGGGTTATGATGATAAAAATGTCGTAAAAATTATGCATACCTACACTGTCACTGTCCTCCTGTTGTTCATAGATTTGCTTGAGCAGGCCCAGTAATGTCTCCATTCAATGTGTTTGGCATATTGAATACGTCACGAGTAGCTTGCCAGGCTCTCCAAGAGGGGTGGAGGAATTGAACCTGGGTCGGTGAGATCAGCCGTGCGCAAGGCCAACGCCCTACCTGCTGTGCTATCGCTTCAGCCCCATACCTATACTATCCCAGTAATTTGTTTTGTCTTTTTTTTTTTTTTTTTTTTGCTTTTTGGGTCACACCTGGCAACGCACACGGATTACTCCTGGCTCTGCACTCAGGAATTACTCCTGGCAGTGCTCAGGGGACAATATGGGATGTTGGGAATCGAACCTGGGTCTGCTGCATGCAAGGCAAACGCCCTACTGGCTGTGCTATTGCTCCAGCCCCACGTTCTTTTTTTCTTTTTTTTAAAAGAGATCGCTAGCTATACCTGGCTGTGCTCAGGGTTGACTCCAGGTTGTTTTCTGCATCACTGCTATCTGGGCTTGGGGGACCATGTGCTGTGCCAGGGGTGGAACCAGTCAGGGGGCTAGAGAGTACAGCAGCAGGGAACTTGTCTTGCATGCAACCAACACGAGTTCAATTTCTGACACCCTACAAAGTCTCCCTAGAACTGCTACAAGTAATCTCAGTGCAGTGCCAGGGAATAAGTACTGAGCACTGCTGGGTGTGGTTGGCTGCATGCAAGGCAACCTTAGCTTTCAGATGACCATGTGAGCTAGGGAATCGAACCTGGGATTCCTCCCACATGCCAAGCATGTGCTCCAGTCCTCTGTGATAGCTCCCTGCTCCCACATTACTTCCTGTGGTAGTGGTGGGGCTCCCAAGTGGTGCTCAAGAAGTCTGGGTGCCACTCCTGGCAAATATTTAGTAAAGTGGGCCAGATGGATGAATACGAGGTCCCAAGGATCTTGTGCTGCTTGGACCCCTCCCTGTGGTACCAGGGACCAGCAGAGTCACCTGCAAGTGCTCCGGGGCTTTGAGAGCTCCACATGGGCTCAGTGGTTTCATTTCAAGTGCTCCTAAACATAGAACCAGTTGTACCATATTCCTGGCCCACATTTTTCACTGGTTCTCAATTTAGTAAAAAGGCACTTATACATTTGTGTGGCAATGGTGGTCAAACCCAGGGCCTCACGCAAGGCACCCACTCTACCACTAAGACATACCCGCCGCCCTCCAACCCCCCCCCCCCAATAATACTATTTTTGGGAGGGTTCTTTTAGACCACACCAGTGCTGATCAAAAACTACTTCATGCTTAATATTCAGCGGATGCTTTTGGTTGTGCTTGGGGAACCTGGGTCTACTGCATGCAAAGTCTGTTAGAGCACTTGTCTTGCATGTGGCTGACCTTAGTTTGAGTCCCCGGAACCATATATGCTCCACTGAGCACTGGCAGGGGTCACTCCTGAGTACCACTGAACCCAACTGCCCCCCTCAAAAACAAAAAGCACACGCTCAGTTCTTTGTGCTATTTCCCTGGCTCTACTATAACTACCACTCTATCACATTAATATTGTGTCCCCGAGAAGTAACATGACTGAGAGGTGTAGGCAAAAGGTAGGATGGGGCAAGAGACACCACAGGTGGTTAAGACACTTGTCTTACATGTGGCCAATCTGGGTTCAGTATCTGGCACTACATATGGCCCCTGGAGCACCACCAAGAGTGATGCTTGAGTACAGAACCAAGAGTAAGTCCTGAGCACTGTATTGCTGCTATAGCCCCCAAATAAACCCCCCAAAGTTATGGGTAAGGTTGTTTTTAGACGATTCAGTCATAACCATGGAAGATCGAATTGGCATAGGGAGATCTAGACTAGTGTCTTATAGCAGAAATACAGTGTAAGCCATGCGAAATGTCAAGGACTGGACCCAGGGCCTTGCATATGTGAACTATGCACTCTTCCACCAAGCTATAATCTCAGTATCGTGTGCTTTGTATGCTAGAGGTTCAAGTTCAACCCCCAACACTATATAGTCTTCCCCCCGCCTTCCGAACTAAATAGGGTATGGTCCAAAAGCCAAAAATATAGTTACTCAAAAATATAGCTGCAGTGAAAGATGAAAATAAAGTCAAGCTGAATTGGACGCTCAACTGTAGGTTGGGGCAGAAAACAATGGACTTTGAAATCTAAACATGGGAGAGAGCTTGGACTTCATTCAGTAGTTACATCATTATAGTCACTTAAAGGAACATGATTATCTATTTTTAGAAAAAGTGCTGGTAGCAGTAAGACCAGAGACTAATTAGGAAGACTAATTAAGAAGCTGTTACAGGGAGGCTGAGGAGACAGCTCAAAGGGCTTAAGCAATGCGGGAGTCCTGGATTCTATGGTCCCCAAAGCACCACCGGGAGTGTTCTCCCTCTCAGAAAAGAGCAGCCATTTGTAAGGAGAACAAAGAGAAGACTGCAAGAAGAAATGAGTGCAGAATAAACCAGGGACTGATTGCATAGGGCCGAGGTGAAGTCAGAGGAAGCTAAGATTTCTTTTTTTTTTTGGGGGGGGGGGGGGCGACGCACAGGGGTTATGCCTGGCTCTGCACTCAGGAATTAACCCCTGGTGGTGCTCAGCCAGAAAAAAACATAACGAATAATCCCCCCCAGCCCCACAAAAATGGGAAGAGAGATAAGATCTAAATCATGTCATTTGTACAGATTTATGTACAAATGCAACTAAGATTTGATGGAAGGATCAAATTGCTCAACCTAGGTGCCTGAGACAGTTGAGTGGGTTGGATGTTTGCCTTGCATGCAGCCTAACTGTGTCAACCCCTAGCATCCCATGTTTCCCCAGACCTACCAGAAGTAATTCGATGAGTACAGAGCCAGGAGTGAACCCTGAGTGAGGCTGGATGTGGCCACAAAAAAGAACCGGTTAACCTAGGAGTTAGGTGAAAAGGCTAGAAATTCCCAAGGTTTGATCCCTGGCACAGCAGTTTGCTGATGACCTAGCCAGGAGTAGCCCCTGAGTGCAAGTGCACAGTTGTGGCACCTTCACTCCCCAGACAATTTCTAGTAGCTAAATTGGATGACCCAAAAAAACAAAGGCCAAAGTGATGGTTACCAGAGACAGAATCGCAGTAGGGTGCTTGCCTTGCATACAGCTGACTGGAGTTTGATTCCCAGCATCTATATAGCACTTGCAAACCCTGAGAACAACTGGGCATGGCCCCTCCCCCCAAGAACCCCTCATAAAAACAAAACCAAAAATGATAGTATTGGGCTTACTCCTAGCTCTGTGCTCAGGGAACCACACAAGATGCTGGGGATCAAACAAGGGCCAGATGCATGCAAGGCAAATTGCTCTACCTGCTGCACATTGCTCCAGATCCAAGAACACAAATGTTACAGGTAAAGTTAATATATATTTTCCACTTTTACTCAGGGTCTCAACAGACACAAGGCATATCCTTCTACCAGAGTCACATTCCTAACTCAGGCTTTAAAAACAGGGCAGGGGGCTAGAGCGATAGCACAGCAGGTAAGGCATTAGCCTTGCATACAGCTGACCCAGGTTCGATTCCCAGCATCCCATGTGGTCCCCCAAGCGCCACCAGGGGTAATTCCGGAGTGCATGGGCCAGGAGTAACCTCTGTGCATTGCCGGGTGTGACCCAAAAGGGGAAAAAAAAAAAAGGGCCAGAGCTTGAGTACAGGGGATGGGGACATTTGCCCTGCGCATGGTACACCTGGGTTCAAGCCCCGGCACCCCACATGGTCCCCTGAGCACTGCCATGCGTGATAATTCCTGAGTGCAGAGTCAGGAGTAATCCGTGAGCATCGCTGGGTTCAAGACCTGGGCTCAAGCCACGGCACACCCTATGGTCCCCTGAGCACTGCTACATGTAATAATTCCTGAGTGCAGAGCCAGGAATAATCCCTGAGCATCGCTGAGTTCAAGACTTAGGTTCAAGCCCCGGCACCCCATATGGTCCCCTGAGCACTGCCACGAGTAATCCCTGAGCATCGCTGGGTGACCCAGAAAGCAACAGAAACATTAATGTGATCAACATCAAAATTTGAGGTATCAGGCTTTTTTGGTGTGTGCCAAAATCTAATACTTTGTATTTTTTCTTTTGTTTTGGGGGCGGGGGGGTACCATATGTAGTGCTGGGGACTATACTTGGTTAGGAGAAACTACCCACTGTACTCTCTTCCAGTCCCACCTACTCAGTACGTGAGTGTGTGTGTGTGTGTATACACATATGCATGTATGTGTAAAAGAATATGTATTTTTAGGGACATATACATACATATGTATATGACAGGCTTGGCTTTGATCTTTTATACACATATACATAAACATCTGAATAAAAAAATAGGTATTTTTTGGGGACACACTAAGTGGTGCTCAGGGGACTTTATGAGACTGAGGACTGAACCCAGGCTGGCTGCATGCATGCAAGGCAGTGCCCTGTCTGCTGTACTCTCTGGCCCCTCTGCCATGTATCTTAAACTTACAACACATCTCAATTTGGGGTTAGTTATTTCCAGTCTCATACAGCATATGAGCAGTGCCTTCCACACTGGACAGAGCAGGTTAGAAAAAAATGGGAGGTTTTAGATAGGAGTGGGAGCCAAACTAGAAGAGAGGCATATCCGAACCGGAAAGCAGGGCCTGGGAAACAGCTCAAAGGGCTGAAGCGCACAATTCACACGTCCTAAGGAGCAGAGTTGGATCCCTGGTACTAAATGCCCTCCGACTCATCCTACTGGACATCATCCCGAGTACCCCTTGCACCAAATCCTTTATAGGCGTCACTGGGGAGGCCTCCCCAAAGTGGTCAGTCTTGGCTGGAGAGGGAAAGCAGGTAATGCACGTGCTTTGCATTAGACTGACCAAGCTGTGGTCCTCAGCACCGAACATGGTCTCCTGAGCTTCATAAGTAGTAAGCTTAGAGGACTGCTGGGTGTGGCCCCAAATGAGAATCAAGAAGTCTTTATGTTGCTATGAAGGAGTAAGAAAGAGGAAAGAACCTTCAAGTTAGTCTTTGTTGAAGTAATCTCATACATTCTGTGACAATCTTTGTCAAAACTCATCACTGATGGGGCACTGCCTTCCTTAAGCATGTACTTTTATTTTTGCTGGGGGTGGGGGCGCACGCCCAGTAGTGCTCAGGGCTTACACTCCTAGTAGGCCGGGAAACCATGTGGGATGCTGGAGATCAAACCTACCTGAGTCGGCTACATGCAACGCAAAAAGTCTACCTGCTGTCCTATTGCTCTGGCTTTACTGACCTTAGCACATACCTCCTAAACCAAGTAACAGATGTGTCAGAAAGGCTTGGGAAACGGGCAGAGGATTACAGCTGCTTCCTTCAGATGGCCTACTCTCAAGTACCAAAGTATACCCAAGCACTTTATTAAAAAGGGGGCCTTTAGACAATGCTGATGCAAACAGATTCAGTCAGCACATCAAACATTGCAGACTAATGGGCCACAGGCATAGCAAGGATGACTCAGAGAACAAATTACTTAGAAACTTCTAATAATAGCACATACCCAAACCAGATGGTTTTATCCTATTCTTCAAAATAAAAGGTGGGGGGCTGGAGCAATAGCACAGCGGGTAGGGCGTTTGCCTTGCACGCGACCCACCCGGGTTCGATTCCCAGCATCCCATATGGTCCCCTGAGCACTACCAGGAGTAACTCCTGTGCATCGCCAGGTGTGACCCAACAAGGGGAAAAAAAAAAGGTGAAAATTACTGCCCCTTCAACATATGCCTTCCAACTCCCTCCTGCTTCCTAAGGATTTACATCAGTCAGCAACTAAATCAAAATTCATTTTCTAACAGTGACCGAAGCCTAATTTCTTGGACACTGATTCCAAGCAGAGACAATTTACAGAACGTGCCCCTACATGATTTTAAGTGAAATGAGAAGGGGCTGGAGAGAGTACAGCAGGTAAGGCACAAGCCTTGTACTTCCTTGACCCAGATTCGATCCCTGTCACCCCTTTCTGGTCCCCCAAGCATTGCCAGGAGTAACCCCTGAGCATCGCTGGTATGACCCAAAACCCAAGAACAAAGTAAACAAAAAAAATCCAGGTGAAATGGATCTTTGTCTAGGGAATAAATGATATAGAGAATTAACACCATACTGGATGCTGGGGATTGAGCCCAGACAGGGCACGTGCAAGGCAGGAACCTTACTTTCTGTTCTAACTGTTTGGCCCCTTAGAAAAGTAACGTTTTATTAATGAGGATGTTTGCCTTGCATACAACCAACCCCGATTTGATCCTTGAGTGCAGAAGTAGGTGTGGCCCCCAAACAAAAAACAAACAAAAAACATTCTCGATCATGTTGCACAGGAACAGCTGGAGGAAATGGAAGAACGACAAAGGCAGTTAAGAAGTGGGGTGCAACTCCAGCAACAGAAGAACAAAGAAATGGAGCAACTAAGGATCAGCCTTGCGGAAGAGCTCTCAACTTATAAGTCAGTTTTCGCTACTCCCTAAACCTCCACTCTGGGTGAGGGGATGGTGGGAGGACAGTAGATGTCGCTGAGGGGAAATATCACTCACAATATTCTTGACAATTTTTAAGTATGCTCACTCTTAAACGGATGAAAACTGCTCTTTTTTCTCTTTTAAAGGGCTATGCTACCCAAGAGCCCTGAACAAGCTAATGCTTCCACTTCTCAGACAAGTGAAGCTGAGTCACAATCTCAAGGTGATCCTTGTGGGTACAAGTGTTTTTTTGTGTTAACAACTACTGCTGCCCTAACAATACTAATATCTTAAAAAAAAAAAAAAGTGATACGGCTGAGAACGTTCAAAGGGCTAGAACATATGCTTTGCATGTGGGTGGCCTAGCCATTAGTCCCCAGAACCACATGGCTCCCCAAACACTGCCAGGGGTGGCTCAAAACCCAGAGACAAAACACTTGCATCTAATGACAAGTCATTTAGGGATGAAACAGACATACCTCAAAACTGACTGCTTCAACTATTCAGAATTCATTTGGACTGTTTCCATTTCTAACAGGACTGTAAAATAGTCCTAATCACCACCAGGAATTTTGTAGCAATGTGCATTCTAAACTTTTCTCACTCTACTCCACCCACTATTCATACACATTTGCCTAGAATAGCAGTCATGCTATCTAATTTAAACTGTTAACAAAGGTGACCAAAGACAAATTAACTTGTAACAAGCAAAAAAAAAAAAAAAAAAAAAAAACAGCAACAACAACAACAAAAAACCCCCAAACCCACCAACACCCAGGTGTGCGGGACCCGGGGCATAGATCTCCAAGCCTGCTCGGATGGAAACTGGGGCCTCCTCTACCCAGATCCCCCACCTTCCTGGCATTACACCCACCAATTGCCTTCGATGCTGTGTAATCCCATCATTGGCCAAGACCCAGAGACTATAAAACCCTGCTCCGGAAAGTGCGCGGCCACATCTGCGGCTGTGCGACATCTTATTATCTAGGTCTTAACTCTGGTGAACCTGGCAGGGTACCAAAAGTATCCTGCCCACACGGGAGGGAAACTGGTAAACTCCCCGTGGTGTATTCAATATGCCAAAAACCAGTAACAATGATGGGTCTCATTCTCCTGACCCTGAAAGGGTCTTTCTGTGGCACTTTTTAAAAATCTCAGGGCTAGAACGAAGGAGACGTTAATGGGGCCTGCTTGAGGCAATCAATGACCAACAGGGTAACAGTGATTAACAGTGATACCCCCCTCCAAAATAAACCCCAACAAAAAAAAAAAAAAAAAACCAACAAACTACCAACCCAGTGTTTATAATCTGAGGGATGGAAATACATGAAATAAGCAACGTATCTGCCCTTGAACTCTATTCATCAGTATATTCACATACTTCTGATTTCTAGATCCTCTCAGATAATGAAATTAAGGCTGAAAAAGGGGTGTGTAGAGCTGGGGACGCAGTAGAACATGTCTTGCTTGTGTGAGGTCTTGGGGTTTGAGCATAGGAAGCCGGGGATTTCTTTGTCAAGCAATGGATAAATGCTCATAAATTTTCATTAATTTTGTTAATTTTACAGATTCACAAATAACTATTACAACCGATGTTTTTTCCCTAACTTTCCATATATGTGTGTATACGTATAATATATATATACACACACACATATATATATATATTCCCCCCCTTTTTGCTGTCATACCCAATGATGCTCAGGGGTTACGCCTGGCTCTGCATTCAGGAAATTACTCCAAGTGGTGCTCAGGGGACCAGGTGGGATGCTGGGGATTGAACCTGGATCGGCTGTGTGCAAGGCAAACATCCTACCCGCTATACTATTACTCCGGCCCTTTTATCTATGTTTTATCCAGGCCTAACTAACTATACTTAATGCTTGGGGAAGCCATTCCTGACTACTCTCACATTTCTTTCCCAACATAGCCTGTTCAAACCAACTTCAAAATTTACTAGTTGAGCTTTATGTACTTTAGTCAAGTTGCACAAGTACAAACTTACTTTTCTCTCTCAATCTTACAGGGGCTGTTTAGAAACAAATTGAAAAGTCGCAACCCAGAAACAACAAAGCCTTCTTTGCAAAGGATCTCTATGTACTTTTATCCTAACAGAAAGGAGTGCTGGGGTTTTGGCAAGCAATTCACCCTGGGAAAGTTACAAATAACGCTGACTGGTTTAAAAAGATGTTAGGGCTGGCTGGAGAAGAGAACACCAGCTCTTGGCTAGATTCTATTTTGTAGCTGCTGGTAATGATCGCAAAGCAGACAGAAATGAGTAGCCCATCCTACAGCAAACCTCTTAATACGACAAAGGATGAATGTATGGACACATCTTACAGCAAAGAATGTATTTTACCTGCTATGGACCCAAACCAAAGAAGAAATAATAAATTTTTTTAGCACGGGGAGGGGGGGGAGGTCAAAAAAGGGCAGAGTTCTAGACTAACAACTTCAATTCTTTTGTGCCATGGGTTAAATTTAAATGAATCCTCTTACAGCATATTTTTATGTCTAAATGGTCTCATGTGTTATACTCTTATGTCATGGTAATTTTCACTATTCTCTAAGAGATTGCTGTGTTGGAAAGAAACCAATCTAGATTTAAACCTAAAGGTTGGGCCAGAGCTATAGCATAGCGGGGTGGGCATTTACCTTGTGTGTGGCCAACCTGGGTTCAATTCCAGCATCCCACATAGTTACTTAAGCACTGCCAGGAGTAATTCCTGAGTGCAAATCCAGAAATAACCTCTGAGCATCATCAGATATGGCCCCAAAACAAGATCTGGGGTTAGAAAAGATCTACTCAGTCAAATCAAATGATTGGAAAATCAGAATTTTATCTGGTTTTTCACTTGGTGATAAGAGCTTGCTTTCAAGAGTCTTATGATAAGCCCCAGTGAACAACAGACTGGGGAAAATTCAACCTCTCTGAGAGAAGTTTCAAACATCTTTCCCAAATTAAATTTTGCCTTAAATTTTCTGCCACACTGCCTTTGACATTCTTCAGTCATACAGACCTCTAGAAACTCACTTCTAAAGATAGTATTTTATCCAAGATTCATCTATGTGCCTCTGATTCAATGTTTTATGTCTCTCACTTTCCCTAGGAAGGAGTAAAGCTCTTTTATACAGCACTGAGTCTATTATGTTTAATTCTGCTTTTGATAGTCAAAAGACCATGGGAAACAAATGTCATTTACACAACTTTTCTTGGAACCAGAATCAGATGTTTGATGGATGTTTATATACTAAATGAAACCCATCAGCATGGGGTTACGTAGAAAAGCAATTTATTCCATTATAAGCACTTACACAGTTAGTCACGGAGTGTAACAGGCCTGCTGGTGAAACTGGTCACTCAGTATAGAGATGGTATCAAACTAGTGGTCAAAGACTAACTCCTAAGCAAAAAAAAAAAAAAAAAAAAAAAAGCAACTTTTATGCAGGATTAATTTAATTTTAAAAACAAATACAAGGTATTGAGATTCACTCTTCTTGACTTAACAAGACAGTCTACCTGTGGTAAAACTGTCAGGTAAAAACATACATCTTTACAACTTGGTGGTCCCAAGTTTTAAAAAACAAAAAACCATTTCACAGAAAGGAAAATAATATGAAAACAGCTCAAGAAATACACTAACAAGCAAAACATATTGGGAGAGAAACATGTAAATTCGACTTAACTGAAGAAACGAAGAATGGTCTACATAGGACAATGTGCATCTGAAAGTTGTTGTGAATATTTTAAGAGTAGAAATTTGTGTCTTAAATCTCCCCTTTCCTGAATAAAAAGGACATCTTCAGGTATTTTCTGTTTAATGAATGGCTCAGACACCTACCTCACTTGGCTTTCTTCCTTATTCCAGCCTTCACTGAAAAACTTGGGGATGTAGTATGAAAGAAAAATGACCACGCGTAACGCCCCCCCTTTTCCACTGCTACTTCAGACCTATGTTACTAGAAAATTCCAGAAAAAAGTTTAAATATGCCTGTGGCTTTACTGAATCAAGCCCCCCAGTTAATATTTAGAAAATACCCTCTGTTTGAGCTAATAACATTGTTGACGGTACCTAAAAAGAGAGATAGCCGAACAAGTCTGTCTCAAAACCAGTGTTAAATCAATCTTGGGTTGAGAGGGAAAAAAGGGGAGTCTAAAATCACAAACAAGTGCAGACATTATATTTAGGACCCTTGTCCTTCGGGATCGACGCTCCCTTCAGGGTCTTCATCATTATAAATGTTCTCTGCCTGCCAAGAAACAAACAGATGAGAGTATTTAACAAACATGAAGGTGACTTCTAGAAGCTTCAAAACTAAAGTCTGTTACAACTTTATTTCTTAATTCAAATACCAAACACACAAATGACCATGCTCCCACCTAGGTTTCCAGGAGACAACACCATCTAGATTTCTGTAACTAGTCCTGACAGTTGCCAAGCACCATGTGACTGACCTGAGCAGAGAGGCAGGAATAGTCCCTGAGCACTGCTGAAATGTCCCCAAAGATGCCTAATTATATTCAACTGTACAGTTGTTGGGTGAAATCAACCACAGACTATATATGCAGTTGAGGCCATAGAGATGGTTCAAAGAGTGGGAATATATAATTTGCATACAAGAGCCCCAGTCTGATATCCAGTACCACATGAAGCCCCAGCACTGCAATGTAAACACAAAACACAAAACAGAATCCCCCCAAAAGTAACACCATCTACAAATAAATGGGTATGGCTGTGTTTCAAAAGAAACAGGCTGCAGGACTACAGGTCAATCCTGCTACATTTGGACAGTACCACAAAACTGTATTTTTGTCACCTGTGAATCCTTTAACCAGATGTTATTTGTAACTGTCAAAAACTCTGTATTGAGTGTTTAGAATAGGCAAGTTCATCAAGAAAGTTGACTGGTGATTGCTGAGTGTTGGGGAGATTACAGGAAAATGGTGACAACCAACTTTTTTTTTTGGGGGGGGGTCCACGGGGAGTGTAATAGCAATTAAAAAAAAAGTGCATTGTGGATCAGTGTAGAGCAGTGCAACAGAAGGGCATTTACCTGGTGTAAGGTAAATGCTGGTATGAGGCCGACCTGGGTTCCATTCCTGAGTACAGGGTGGCCCAAAACCCCAAAACAATACCCAAAAAAAAAAAAACCCCAAAAACCCCACCACTAAAATAGATTAATAAATCAATAAAAATAAAAGATGTGGGTGATAGTACAATGGGTAGAAAGTAGAGAGCATTTGCCTTGTACCTTGTATGTGGCTCAACCATGTTTGATCCTTGCTTGGCACCCCATGTGGTTGCGCAACACTGCCAGGAGTAAACCTTGAGCACCACAGGGTATGGCCAAAAAGCCATTCTGGGGGGGCCGGGGAGGGGAGATGGGAGGGGATGAGGCCAGAGCTATAGTACAGCAAGTAAGGTGCTTACATCCCACGCAACCATCCTGGGTTCAATCTCTGACATCCAATATGATCCCTGAGCACTACCAGGACTGATTCCTGAATGCAGAGTCAGGAGCAACCTCTTTAGAATTGTTAGGTGTGGCCCAAATACAGGAAGGTAGGGAGGGAGGAAGAGATACAGAGGTTGGGGGAAGGAGGGGGAGATAGAGAATTCTTGGGTTGGAAAAAGTTTAATAGCTAAGATCACATTCATTACATGTGGACGGACTGGGTTTAATCCCTGGCATTACATAGTTCCAGGGGAACAACTCAGTAGCCTAGTCCCTGAAGTCCACTATGTACAGCCCTCTCTTCCCGCCAAAACTTCATTTCAAATATTTTGTGCTCAGGACACCTTATACAGTGCCATGGATCAAACTCAAGAACCTAGGTCAGGTACATGCAAGGCAAGCACCATACCCACTGTACTACCTAACCTCTGGTCCACATACATATGCATATGAACATACCCATGTTTTCATGGCATGGATGATCAAATTCAGGGTCTTATACATGTAAGGCATGTGCTCTACCACTGACCCCTAAAACATATATGGTCTATTGTCCCTTGACACAATTCTCATTTCTGACAGTCAACTGCCAATCCCAACACTACTTAGATGTAGCAGCAGATTCCAAGGGCTTAAGGGATGGCCACGAAAACTGTACAGGGCCCAGATGTAGCTCTGGAGTGAAGCATGTGGATTGGCCCCAGGTTTGATTCCCCCATACCAGAAAACAACAAAACTGTTAAAAGACCAGTGAAAAGCCCTGAGGATTCAGGCTGTAGACTATGCAATCCTGCTACTAATTTAGGGATCATTCCGCAACTACCTACACAGATATGCTATTTCAATGGAATGACTCAGAATGGAAAGGGATTTACCTATTATTGATTCATTATAAAGGTTACAACCAGGAATAGCTAAATTGCAGAGCTGATAGAAGGTGGGGAGACAAGTATGCATGCATTATATCTCTAGAGGTGACACAGTACCAGCACTGTCACAAGTCATGAAATTTGGAGTCCCTCCTCCCCGCCCACAGAGCTCAACACTCCCAGTCAATGCACAGTGGGATCAGGAATGCTGAATGCTAAAGTGACTGGTCTTTCTGAAGATTATTCCTATTTTGAGGCTACTGAAAAATTCCTCAAGCCACCTCCTTAGCCTAAACTCAGATATGGTCCCCAAAAGGGGCTCCTTGTAAAAAGTAAGTTTTCTTAGTCAGAAAACTGGAAGAGTTTTAAGAAATCTGTGGAAATAATATCTACTATTTTTTGGGGGGGGGACACATCCAAAGGTATTTAGGGAATACACATTGAATGCCTGAGATTGAATCCAGGCTGGCTGCTTATAAGGCAAGCGCCCGACTGCTGTACACCGGCCTCTAGAACATTTTACCAATATGCTATCCATGGGTTCTACTTCACTTTCCTGGTTCACATGTGTTACCAGTAGTTTATTTGGGGAGGGGGGGCGGCAGATAGGGAAGGGAGTGAATCTACACCCAGTTATCCTCACATGCACTTCAGCCCTGGTACCTTCCTGGTCACTGTAACACAGTTTTAAACTGGGCATCCTACAGATTGCCAGAGATCACACATAGGTTGGTGTCATGCAAGACACCCTACCCACTGAACTACCACTGCAATTCCCATTACACTATTATTCTGTAACAGAGGTTTGACTGCTCAGAAACTTCCTCCTATTAAGCCCAAACTTTCCCTACGGAGATTGAGATTATTCCTGATTTAAATATCAGTCTGTCAAGAGAATCAGAGCCAGACCAAAACACTGTAGCACAGTAGCACACTGTCCTCCCGTTGTTCATCGATTTGCTCATCTGGGCACCAGTAACGTCTCCATTGTGAGACTTGTTACTGTTTTTGGCATATTGAATACACCACGAAGAGCTTGCCAGGCCTTGCTGTGCAAGCGGGATACCCTTGGTAGCTTGCCAGGCTCTCCAAGAGGGATGAAAGAATTGAACCTGGGTCAGCCACATGCAAGGCAAATGCCCTACCCGCTGTGCTATCGCTCCAGCCAGACCAAAACACTAAGGTGTGGAATAGAACAGAAAAACTGGTTGGGCATATTCATTTTTGTAAGATGAGGAAGTAACACTGTAGAAACGAACAATATAAAACCTGTTAAGTGAATAGACCAAAGGGGGATAGAGTTTCAGATACAAGTAGGACAATCATGTTAATGTAAAGAATAGGTATAGGTAATACTAGCACGCACAAAACCAGAGGTAACTGGAAGAGAGATGCTGGTAACTGAGATGCCGGTAATTTAAGTGATATTTTGTTCATTTTCATAATTTCCATACAATAAACGACAAAATGCTTACCATCTGCCACACTTGCATGATATTGTCTTCTGATACAGAACAAATCACCCAAGGTTCATTGGGATTCCAGGAGAAATCAGATATTTTAGCAGTGTGACCACCATGGATAAACTAAACAAGGAAGAAAAACCAAAATGAGAAGGATAATAAAGTACAGATTATTTCAATACTGATCAATGTCTAGAACATACCAGTAATTCTGGTGGCCCATCCTCTGCATCTTCTGGGGATTGCTCTTCTCCGATTTTACTATAACACAAACAAAAAAGATTTTCACAAGATTCACTCCAACAAATACTGGAACGTAAACAAAAGAGTAACTGCACAAAAGGTACTAATTAATACAAAGCTTACCTCAAATCCCAAACATTCAGTCTACGATCAGTACCACTGGAAGCCAAAATAGTCTCATTGTGAGGTGACCACTGAACCTGCATGTAAGAATAAAGAGAAAAACATTATCAATTAGAAAATTAACCACAATTACTTTTTGGGCTTGTTCTTGGGCCATACCGGCCAGTGCTCAGGGCATACTCCTGCCAGGCTTGGAACCATACAGGATGCTGGGGATCGAAATTGGGTTGGTTGAGAGCAAAGTAAATGTCCTACTGCCCTACCCACTGTACTATCTCTCTGGCCTCCTACAATTGCATTTAACAATTTCAAAACACTTTAATAAAAGATGTCACAAGCACCCACAATTATGACCACTCTTTAAAGTTCAAACATGATGTAAAAACCTTTTGTGTTTAGTGCCAGGGATCACATCCTATGAAGCCAGTATCACTGTGCCACATCCCTGACCTCTTTAAAATTTTTTGGGGGGAGGGAAGAGGCAAAGAGGAAGGTTCCTTAGCAGCACTGAAGGCCCAGAAATGCGTTAAAAAAAGGGGGGTGGAGGGGAGAGAGCCAAAGAGGGCTGGAGAGATGGTATAGCAGTAAGGCACTAGTAGAAGGCCTGGGTTTAACTCCTAACATTACACAATCCCATAGCACCAAGTCAGAAGTAGTCCCCAAACATGCCATGCATTGGAGCTGGAGCAATAGCACAGCGGGTAGGGCGTTTGCCTTGCACGCGGCTGACCCGGGTTCGATTCCCAGCATCTCATATGGTCCCCCAGCACCGCCAGGAGTAATTCCTGAGTGAAGAGCCAGGAGTAACCCCTGTGCATTGCCTGGTGTGACCCCCCCCCAAAAAAAGCAAAAAAAAAAAAATTTTTTTTTAAAAAAAGGAAAAACCAAAAAAGCATGAAAAAGGGCATATAAAACATTCTACTATTTACAGCAATGGGATAAAAATCAAGAATGTACCCACCAATACACCTATTGCTTTCCTTAAAAAAAAAAACAAACAAAACAAACAAACAAACAAAAAAAAAACACCCTCAAAAACAGTGGCTGGAGCAATAGCACAGTGAGCAGGGCATTTGTCTCGAATGTGGCCAACCCGGGTTCAATTACCAGCATCCCATATGGTCCCCCAAGCACTGCCACGAGTGATTCCCAGAGTGCACAGCGAGGAGTAACCCCTGAGCATCACTGGGTTGACCCCCCCCCCCAAAAAAAAGCTAAGGCTGATGATGGTGGTGTGCTTGTTTGGAAATAGAATGCTCAAAACTTATTATTAGCATATTTGAAAATACAATAGTGCTTTCAAGAAGAAAAAAAATTAGGGCCAGGGACATAGCTCAAGCAGTATCAAGTGGCACAAGACAAAACAAACAATAATAAAGCCACTGGTTTCTCTTACCTGGAATATTTCATCCTTATGTGATTCAAAGGAATGCAATTTAAGTTTCAGATTTCTCAGATCCCACAAGGCAACAGTCTGTGTGAAAAGGAAAAACGAGAGGAAACACCATTTCACCATTTTTCTTTCATGAAAACACAAAACCCAGATTACCACTCTTAAAAAGTCAAGAGCATTTTCTTTTAAAGCAAACTGACCTTGTCAGCTGATCCTGTGGCAAGAATGAACTCACTGTAAGGGTTGAAAGACAGGCAGTTCACTTCAGCAGTGTGGGCATCAACTGAGTGGCTTGGTTTGGAAGTATTGTTTGAACGAGTATCCCAACTTCAGTTATAAAAGAGGAACAAGAAAAAAAGATTTTTAAATGAGCAATTAAACATAATACAGGTAAAACAAGAACTATCTAAACGGATTTAACTTACATCATAAGTTTCTGATCATCAGCAACTGAACCAAACAGAGACTCATGGAGCAGGTGCCAGGAAACATCCTCTACTACTGCGGTGTGGCCTGTGAAGATGGTCTTTGCATCCACAACTTTTCCTTCCTTTGGAACAGCACTGATATCCCACAGGCAGATGGTCTTAAATGTAAAATTAATGATTAAATAAAAAGGAAGAGTCCTAATTTACCACATACCCCAGCAAAGACACCAACCAATTTACTCCAACATAATATACTCACATGGTCATCGGAAGCACTAAGTAAGTGCCCACTGAGATTTGGGTTCCAAGAAAGCCCATATCCTTCCTTCTGATGTCCCCGGAGGCGCAAGTCTGGGTTGCACTCACCAGAAGGGTCTGAAAAGTAACAGTCATATCAATACTAGTCGATACACTGCCTTTTTGGATCTCATGTTAAGCAGAACACAATTTTTATCAGAGGGTTGAAAGTTCTTACTCCTTTTAAGTAACAGAGACCCACCCACTAAGACCAAATATACACTGCTTAAGCCAAACAATCTGAATGGAGCATTTTTTTCCCACCTAAAAAAGAACAAAAGAAGGCCCAGCGATAGTACAGGACCAAGGCGCTTGCTTTTTTTGCAGCCCCGCCCTGGTTCTACACTCTGGTCTCCTGAGTGCTCAACAACCCCCTCCCCACCTCCAATATCCACACGTATCAATATGAACCACAAGATAATAAATTACTCAAAGAATAGCAAGCAATTAAACAGGAGAAATTATCATAGTGACTCATAATTTCTATCAAAAGGGGGCAGGTACCTGGTTTTGAAGGATGCTTTGTATAGTCAAAAACAAGAACATCACTGGATGGAGTTTTTGTTGCAATGATGCAAGGGTTCTGAGGCATGTAACGTGCCCTGTTTACTTCTCCTTCATGGTTGATCTTGATCTCTATTTCAATTTTTCCACTAACTGAGCCAAAACCTCCAAATTCTGTAAACGAGACAAGTTGCAAATAAAGACAAAGACTTTATTTATTTAAGACTACTCAATATACAAGAGAGTCTGATACAGACAAGGCCTTTTAGCCAGCTAATTAGTGTAAGATCAAGTAGCCCCCCAGTCTGTGTTAGCACTATAAAGTTAGCGCTCTCGCATCCTTTGTTTCTAATTTTTTTTGATTTTGGGGTCACAAATGGTGATGCTCAGGGGTAACCGCTAGCTCTGCACTCAGAATTACTCCTGACGGTGGCTCTGGATGCTAGGAATTGAACCGGCGTGAGCCATGTGCAAGGCAAGTGGTCAACCTGCTGTACTCCTGCCTCTCCAGCCCTTTATTTCATTTTTTTGGGGGCTGGGTGGGTGGGGGCACGTAACTGGCGATGTTCAGGGGAACCATATGAAATGCTGGGGATTGAACTCTGGTCAGTCATGTTCAAGGCAAGTTGCTCTACCTACTGTACTATTACTCACGGCCCCTCATTTGATTCGTTACCACAATATTACATAGTACATAGCAGGGAAGATAGTCATTATCTATGAATTTTTATATGGGCTAACTAACAGCTGAGTATATTAATTTGTGGGGGCCAGTATAGGCAGGGCATTTACCTTGCACGCAGCCACCAGGATTTGATCCCTAGCATCCCACATGGTCCCTCAGCACTGCCAGCAGTAATACCTGAGTGCAGTCAGGAGTGGCCCAAAAACAACAAAACAAAAACTAATTTGTGCTGACATGACTATGGAATTTCCTACATTAAGGTCCTACCCAGGAGTACTCTATCAACTATACCTACATGATGACATAATCCCTATAGGAAGCTATCAACTTAAGAAGTTTTATAGCACTGTCCTGCCGTTGTTCATCGATTTGCTTGAGCAGGCACCACGAACATCTCCATTGTGAGACTTCTTGTTACTGTTTTTGGCATATTGAATGCGTAACGGGGAACTTGCCAAGTTCTGTCGTGTGGGTGGGATATTAACTATAAAACTTAAAGAGTCTTCTAATTGTAAAACAACTTATATTAACTTTGTGAAAGTAAGAAATATTGATTCCACTTAAAATCTATGGAATCAGGGGCTGGAGTGATAGTATAACAGGTAGGGTGCTTGCCATGCATGTTACTGAACTGGGTTTGATTCCTAGGACCATACAGTCCTCCAAGACCTGATCCACGAGCACCATGTATGTAGGGTTCCCCCGCATTCCCCATACCAAATCTAGGGTTTCAGTGTCACGGAGATAGTTCAAAGAGCTAGCATGCATACTTAGCACAGAGGAAGTCCAGATTTGCTTCCCAGTACACAGAGCATCAGAACAGTGAGTAAAACTGCTGGGTGTGGGCGGGAGCAATAGTACAGCGGGTAGGGCAGTTGCCTTGCACACGGCCGACCCGGGTTCAATTCCCAGCATCCCATATGGTCCCCTGAGCACCGCCAGGAGTGACTCCTGAGTGCAGAGCCAGGAGTTAACCCCTGTGCGTTGCTGGGTGTGACCCAAAAAGCAAACAAACAAACAAACAAAAAAAAAACAAAACAAAACAAAAATACACCTGCTGGGTGTGCTCTCTAAATGAAGTTATGAACTCAAACAACTACTGAAAAAGGAGTCAGGGATGTGGCTTGCAGTAAAGTGCATTCCCAACATGTGTGATGCTTTGGATGCTTTGGTAACGTTAAATGCCCGGCACTGCCAAAGATATTTTTTGCTTTGTTTTTGGGTCACACCCAGAGGTGTTCAGGGCTACTCCAGGCAGGCTTGGGGGACCACAAGGGATGCCAGGGATCGAACCCTTGCATAAGAGGTGCAAGACAAAGACCCTATCCACTATACTATCACTCTGGCCCCATAAAAGTACCTTTTTTTATTTTGGCTTTGTGGGTCACGCCCGGTGATGCACAGGGGATACTCCTGGCGGTGCTCAGGGGACCATATGGGATGCTGGGGAATCGAACCCGGGCCAGCCGCATGCAAGGCAAATGCCCTACCTGCTGTGCTATTGCTCCAGCCCCAAAAGTACTATTTTAATGAATATTAAATGCCCAGTCATCAGTGCATCAGACAGGTGCATTAAAAGCTCCTCTTACACCATTAATTTGAAGTTCTGGTTTGCAATAATCATTCTGAAAAATACTCTATCTTCTCCCTGCATCACTTCTCTTAATCTAGTGAGGGAAAACAGAGCTGTAATAGTCAGTTCCATCTTTTCACTCTACACTTACAACTAACTGCCAACCTTGGCTGAAATAAACCAGATAGGCAAGTATAACTATAAGCACTGGAGTTCTCCAAGTGCCCTTCTAAGACACATAACAATTTAATTTGTGATTACTTAATCTTGGAAAAGCAATGTATAAACAAAGGTAGTTAATGATTAGTCAGAGAGACTGATAAGGTAGCCAGGAGTCAGGCCTTAGCCTAACTGGCTCTGCAACCTGCAGTAGAGCTTGGTGATTTGTGAAAGGCCTTCGATTTCTAAATTGTTTTTTCTTAAAATATGGGGGGATGGGAGTGGGTGGGGGTGGAGTGGTCTAGGGCCAACTCTGAGGTGCTCAGCAGTGCTGGGGATTAAAGTAAGGTCAGCTGTATGCAGGGCAAGAGCCTTTCCTACTGTACTACCCCTCCTGTCCTCAATTTCAAAAAGGAAAGCACAAGGAGGCTGCCTGGGTTAGATCCTTGGCTCTCCATGGTCCTGAACACCACCAGGAGTGAATCCCATGCATAGACCTGGGAATATCCCCCGACCACTGTCAAGTGTGCCCTAAATTCACCCACCAAAAGCAAAAACAAGATGGATAACATGGCCGGAATACTAGACAACTTCCAACTTTCTAAAACTGAAAAGCTGGGGGTCAAAGAGATAATATTGGGACTAGGGTGCAGGCAGGCCTTTCACGCCACCAACTGTGAGTCAATCTCTGGCACCACATGGCTCACCAAGCATTACAGGGTACAGCTCTTACCTGGATCCCTTGAGCACTGTTTGGGAGCACACCCCACCCCTGAAAAGCAAATGTTTCAAACAGGCTAAAACCCCCCAAACAGAGGCCAGATAGTTAAATATGCTTTTCATGTGGGAAGTTTGAGTTCCACCCAAGCACTAGCCTGAAGTGACCCTGGAGTTGGAAGAAGCCTCCAAACTTCACAGGTGTGGCCCAAAAACAAAGTTCAGGGCTCATCATGAAAGGGGTAGGGCACTTGCCTTGAACAAGCTAACTAGGGCTTGATTCCTGGCACCCCACATGGTTCCCAAGCCCTTCATGAATGATCCCCGAGCACAGAGCCAGGACAAAGCCCTGAGCATAGCCGGGAATGGCCCTCAAACCAAAGAATAAAAACAAAGTTCAGTTCAAAACAGACTTCAAAGGGCACCCCTATTGAAATAAATCTATTAATTTCCCCTCCAGAATTCTGTATCAAAAACCTCTATAAAGAAAAAAGATGTGAAGTTCATGCCCAATTCAATCAGCTTAATCAATGGCTGAATAGCAGTGCTCCTACATTATATAAAAAAAAAGATGACAAAGGGGACATTTTGTCCAAATACAGGGAGATTAGCACACAGTATAAATGACTAATACCAAACAAATATAAAAACACAATATCCACCAGTAAAGATATAGCAGCAACAAGAACAGATAGGCATCATATATAACAGATTATTTTGGTACTAGATATAAAAACCAAGAAAACCAAGGGCTTTCCTGTTCTTAAAGTACAGTAGAAAGAATAAAAGATTTGCAGTTGAGTTCCTATGAAAATAAGGACTTATCTACTTAAAAAACATCAAGGTCTAACTGTATTCTATTTTCTATCTTTCATATGGAAGACAATCATAAAACCAACAATTATAGTCAAAGTATCCTCCTACCCCCTAGTTTTTGAGCTATACCTGGCAGTGCTCTGGACTTACTCATAGGTCGGCACTCAGAGATCACTCCTGGCCAGGCTCAAGAGTTCATTTGTGATGCCAGGAATTAAACCTGAGAAAGCTGGATCCCTGAATGTACAGCCAGGAATAGTCCTAAGCATTGAAAGATATGCTGTACCCGCCCCTCCCCACCGCTAGCTAGGTCTAACTTAAAAGCTTTTACTCATTGTTATTTTTTGGGGGGAGGGGCACAGGGAAGGGGAGGGATGGGGACACATCCAGCGGTGCTCAGAAGCTTCCGCTTTTCCTGGCTGTGATGCTCAGAGAACCAGGCAGTGCCAGTAATCAAACAAAGTTCAGGCACTGCAGTGTTTGGCCCCCAAACCAAACCCTCTGAACATAGCCAGCTGTGGCCCAAAGCAACAATCCAACTCTTTCCTAAATCCAATTTACAGTACATCCTATGGGGCACTGATGATTCTCAATACTGTCTCACAGTGGAAAAAGTATCACAGTAATAAATCAGAGATTCTCTTCTTCGTTCAATTTTAGATATACTCCCATGATCAAATCAGGTGCAGGACTTAATAAATAAGGTACAGAACCAAGAACATTTTTAATGTTTTAGGTTATCTAATATGCTGAAATGCAGGCTTCCAAAGTCCTGACTTTAATCTTGATTTTAACTTAAGAAGCAACTATCAGAGTCTACACACCTTTTAGCACTAATGCAGAAACACAATCAGTATAATCTATATATGTGTGGGCATATGCCACACATATGCCATTCCTTTCCCTTTCTCGAGTCTTACCTCCTTTCTCACTGTCGTAGTGTGAAGCATCAAACTGTGCATCATCATTAGGGAGCTGCACACTGGCTATCACAAGGTGGTTTTGTTCATCTGATGTGTGTGTCCCCAGGACAAGTCGATGAATGCTGAAATCTTTCCCTTCTGGTCTGTAACAGTAAAATTATGCTTACTATTCAAATTAACAACACCGTAAGTCAGTTATGACATGAGTGCAAAAGGCTTTAATTCTAATCAGGGTCTGAGATAATAAAGTCATGAAGAGTTGCAATTTCTGTTAGTTTCTCTTCCATAAAACCAAGGGTAAGAAATGTACACACAACACACTAAGTTTAAAATTATTTATCAATGGGTTGGAGTGATAGCACAGCGGTAGGGGGTTTGCCTTGCACACGGCTGATCTGGGTTCGATTCCCAGCATCCCATATGGTCACCCAGAGCACCGCCAGGAATAATTCCTGAGTGTATGAGCCAGGAGTAAACCCTGTGCATTGCTGGGTGTGACCCAGAAAGCCAAATAAAAAAATAAAAATAAAATTACTTATCAAAAATGTACAGTATATGTGAGGTAAAGTTTAATGATACTATAAATTAACTCATCCTTTACAAATAAGTTGCAGAGAAAAGAAGAAAAATGTTATTGAACAGAGGAGCTGGGGAGATGCTGCTTTGCATGTGGGAGGCCTGGGTTCAATCCCTGGCATCACATGGTTCCCCAAGCACCAAGTAAGGTGTGACCCCAGAACCAAAAGAGCAGCACAAACAACAAAACAGCAAGATAAAAAAATAATCAACCCCTAATACTTTTTTGTTTTTGAACCACACCTGATAATGATCAGCAGCTAATCTCAGCACTTTGTTCAAGGGTTGCTCCTGGATTTGCCTGGGGACAAAAGGGTACCTGGGATCAAACCCAAGTTTCCATGCATGTAAAGCATGTTGCTACTAATGTGCACTACTAGTCCTTTGAGCTACCTCCCTGGTCACATGCTTTAGGTGACTTTACTATATTAACATCATTTAAGGGGAAAAAAAAAAAACCAGTATTAGGTAAACTGATTGTTTAAACATTACAAGTGCCTGAAAAACAGACACTTGACTCCAAATACTGGGAAAGTCCAAACTCAAATGACGTGATTTCTGTCCTTAAAAAACCAGGAACAGGGCTGGAGCAATATTACAGCAGTTAAGGTGCTTGACTTGTACGTGGACAGTATGGGTTCAATCATGGGCATCCCATATGTCCCCAAAGTCCGAGCAGTAATAATTCCTGAGCACAAAGCCAGGTGTAACCCCTGAGCAATGCCAGATGTGGTCCCACATCTAACCAAACAAAAAAAACCATGGACAGGGGACTGAAGAGATAGTACAGGTGCTAAGGCATGCACTTGATCCTGTTTGGATCCCTGGTACTGCAGGGCTTAAGGTCTCATCAGAGATAGGAACAGCACCCTCCCTCCCATGAAGGGATAGCTCAGTGGGTTAAACCCATGCAGAACATGTGGGAGGTCTCTTTGATATTCCCCAGAGTACCTCAGGGAGCAACCCTCAAGCCAGTATTCATAAGTACTATAGGGTATGGTCCCAGAACACAAAAGGACCTGAGAAATGGAGAAAGTTTAAAGGATAGAGTTTTGCTCAGCATGCTATTGATTTTTTTTTTTCTTGCCTTTTGGGTCACCCGGTGGTGCTCTTGCCTCTGCACTCGGGACCATATGGGATGCTGGGGATCGAACCCAGGTTGGCCACATGCAAGGCAAATGCCCTACCCGCTGTACCATAGCACCAGCCCCTGCTCTGCATGTTAGAGCTCTAAGTTCGGTCCTAATATTTTAAGGAGCTACCCGGGTGGGTTTTGCTCAGGGTATGGGCAAAAAAAAAAAAACAAATAAACAAGGGACATTTAGGGGGCAGGGAGATAGCCCAAAGAACTGGAGCACATGCTTAGCACACAGAAGCACCAAGTTCTATTCTTCACTGCATGGTATCCCTTAATGCCAGCACCACAAAGATAGTAGACTCTGACAATCATCAGGTATGCCTCCCCCAATTAAATAAAATAAAAACAAAAACAAAACAGTAACTATAGATTACGTAAACCACTAAAATAGAAGTCAAATATATCACATAAAAGCACACACTAAGATAGGGACTTTATAGATAAGAATTCCTTCAGAATTAAGTTCATGAAGGTGAATAGGTCTCAAACATAAAAACCAAATGAATAGGGCAAAGGCTCTTTAAGATGATATTCAAAGAAAAGGGAACTGAGCAAAGTAGTTTTATAAAGGGCCGCTACTACACAGCCTAAGCTTATCATATCACTTAAACACTTAAGTTTCACCTAACAGTAGCAAATCACTTTTCTTGCAAAAGAATGTTATAAAATCTGCAACAATCGTGTGGTGATATATGGTACTGTAATATATATAGGGTGTTTTAAGACACTCCACTTGGGGCTGGAGCTATAGTACAGCGGGTAGGGTGTTTGCCCTGCACACGGCTGACCTGGGTTCGATCCCCAGTATCCCATATGGTCCCCCAAGCACAGCCAGGAATAATTCCTGAGTGCAGAGCCAGGAGCAACCCCTGAGCATTGCTGGGTGTGACCCAAAAGATTTTTAATAAGATTTTTTAAAAATTTCCAAAAAATTCTTATAAACATCAAATAAGATGTTAAAAAAAATTAAAAAGACACTCCACTCTGAATAGTACGCTACATGAAGACATGTAAAATTTCTAAAGGGCACACCATCATTTATTTAAGAATTAGTTTCAGTGTAAAGGGTAAAGCAGATTTCTTTAAGTGTGGCATCAGAACCAATAGTATTAGTATCTGATTGTTCATTCTCACCAGGAATTCTCACTCATATCCACTCCAGAATGAAGAGCGATGTGGGGTGGCAGAGCAGTGGGCACTAGAGTCTCACAATTCTGTCAGCTGATTATAAGTTTGAGGATGCCTGGTCCAGAAATGTTATTATACGAGTATTCATTGGTCCTTATAAAATGGACCCTCAAGTTTAGAAAAGAAAAACCCAGAAAATAGCGACAAATGTATAACAAACAAAAATCACAAACAAAATCAGGAGAAAGCTGGGGTGAGGCCTTCCTAGAAAGAATACATATTCTAAATATATAAATTGGAAATATGAAATATTAGGGAATAATCTAGAAGCTAAACATTTGAAAATTCAAGGGGGGGGAAAATGTGCCAGAGAGCGGCGTTCAACAGCTTCTTGGGGCCAGAGAGATAGTACAGTGGATAGGATGTTTGCCTTGCATGCAGCCAATCCAGGTTCAATCCTCGGCATCCCATATGGTTCCCTGAGCACATCCAGGGATAATTCCTGAGTGCAGAAACAGGAGTAAACCCTGAGCATCGCTGGATGTGACACAAAAAGGAACCCCCCTCCCCCCCAACAGATAAAATTGGCTAAGCACCTTCTCTGCACGTAGTAGGCCCAATGTTCAATACATATATTGCCCTGGCAATACATGGTCCTCAAACACCAAATGAGAAGACCCTGAGCGCTGTCAGAGATTTTTAAAAAATTATGAAAACGCATGAAAATAAGCAAAACCCTAACACTGCTTTTTAGGTGGAATTATTTTCTTTAAAAAGAGAAGGGAAAATATTTGGAGCAATGCCAAACATGGTAAAAGGTTTATTTACCTAATAAAGAAGAAAGTCACCAAGAGTTCAAATGTTTTGGGGAAGGCAGACCACACCCTGGTTGTGATGCTTAGTGGAACATATGATGCCAGGGAAGAAATTTAGGTTGGCCAGGTGCAAGGGAAGTGCCTAACCTGCTGTACTATCTCTGCAGCCCCCAAGACTTCAGTTTGGTTGTAGTCTAATTCAATACTTCCAAGTCTAACTAATCACATGATTATATGGGAAATTTCTGCTAATGTGCCCTCCAAAAAACTGGGTTTCAGAGCCGAAGCCTCAGTAGTAGACCTGGTAACATAGGATGGCCAGTATTTGGAATCCACTGTCTAGCCCACACCAACTACAGATCGGGAACCATCATTCATTTATTTCTCAACAAGTACTCTGCTGTAAGCTCCCAAAATATTTGAACAGTAAGAACTCATGACAGAAACAAATATTAAATGCTGCAAATAATTCTCGTGACAGTCGAATATGGCAACTCATGGTCATGATAATGACATTCAATTCTAAATATGTAGGTATTATGACCTTCACACGTGTAGAACACAGTTCCCGGTTCTCAACGCCCCCGTAAAAATAGCAGCATCGGTTAAAACTTAATAACACGCATTATCAAATTTCTTGCTTAAAAAATATAACGGAGGTCTAAAAATTCACGTTTCACAATACCTTGATTTCTAAAACACCCAAAGTTTATAGTGAAAAAAAAAAAAAAACACGCCTCATTACCTAACAGTGCAGCAGTTTTGCGAAAACTTAACACAACAGCACCTACTCCCTAAATTCGCTGTCCTCTTGTCACTTCGCTCTAGGAAGTCAGCCCTCAGACCCCCAAGCGCAGAATTTCTCCTTCCTCCGGCCACCAGTGTCTGTGCCATTCGCGGCCCTCCCGCCCCCACCCCGCTATCTGAAAGCTGGTTCTAAGTGTTGCCTTATTATCTCATCAGTTACAGCTCGAACAAGGGGGCAATTCACTGCAGTAACCCAAAAAAAAAAAGAAAAAGAAAAGTTTTCTGTTATCACGTAAATTACAACACAATTTCGCATTCTGCCCTACTTTTGGGAATAGGTTTAGAGGACGCGCCCTCTCCGGGCGACTGGAGAGAGGGAAAACGGGGAAAGTCTCCGTAAGAAACGTGCGCGGAGAGCACGCTAGAAAGACCGCGCGGGAGGTTCAGAGCATCACCTGGTCACATCTGGAAGCCACTGTGCAGTTAGGCTGGGCCACTCCAGCGCATGGGTCATCACCAAGTCGTAAAGAAAAGGGGTGTTTTTCTTCCATATTTTGTACTCTTCATTGATCACACGTTCTTCGACTGCGTCATCAAAGGCTGCTAAAGGATTAAAACCAAAGGAAGCACGTGAAGGAGATGGAAACCGAGGAAGCGGGTCCCAAGCCCCCGTCGCGGCCGCGGGCGCCCGATTCGGGGTCCGGGAGGCCTCGCTGCAGCCGCGCCCGGAGGCCGAGGCCCCCCCCCCGCCCGCCCCGGTCCGCTCCGGCCTCGCGTCACCGCGGCCCGGCGCGCCGTTAGCCGCCTGCGCGACGGCGCCAAGCCTCGGCGGCGAGTCTCCGCCTCCGCGAAGCCCACGGGGCCGGCCAGCAGGCCCGAGCCCAAGCCCTGTGGGTGGGGAGCACCACCTCCGGCCAAGGAGGCCCGGGAGAGGGGCGACGGCGACCCGCCAGGCCCCCGCGCGGGCCCGGCCGCCGACTCGGCCCCGTCTCGACGGGCCGCGCGTCCGAGGGAGCCCGGCGCGCTCGGCCGCGGGTCCTCGGGCGGATTCTGGCGAGGGAGAGGGGCTCCGCGGGCGTCGGGCCCGTCCCCACAGTCAGGCCGCGTCGAGGCCGCGCCTGAAGGCCGCCCCCTCCCCCAACTCGCACACAAGCACGCACAGGCGGCCGCCGGGCCAGGCCCGAGCACCCTCACCTTCCTTGTCGGCCATGGCGGGCGGGCTTGCCGCGGAGATTCCCCCGGTCGAGCGTTGCGGGAGGGGCGGGGAGGCTGCGAGCGCTCACTCTGTGCGCACGGCCTCTATTGTTTCCTACGGCCCCTGCGTGAGGTCCGACTCGCGTACCTTCGCGCCAACACCGGCCAATCAGAGCACAGCGAACGGGGAGGGGGCGGGGAAGCGGCGCCGGCAGCCAATCCAGAAGCGCAGAATCGCTTTCCGCGGGGCCGCGGCGCACGCTCCGCCCCTCCCCCCCCGCCGCGGCCCGGAGCCCATTTTCTTGGATTGCGCGCGCGCGGAGTTGACGGGCGTGCGCCCGCCCGAGGTCACGTGCCCGCGGGTCCTCCTCCTCCTCCTCCTCTTCCTCCTCCTCCTCCTCCTCTTCCTCCTCCTTCTCCTCCTCCTCCTCCTCCTCCCTCTCCTCCCTCCTCCACCTCCTCCTCCTCCTCCCTCGCTCTCCTTCCCGGAGCCTCTTGGGGGCAGCCATTTTCTCAAAAGCGGTTCCACACGTGACCCTTTCGCTCAGATGCGATAATATCGAGGCTGCTTTCGCGTTTAATCGTCACATTCGGAGGTGAAGCGGAATGATCCGTTAATTCAAAGGGCTCCTGCGCCTAGGCCCTCCCGGTTTATTCGTTTCTTTAGTCTGTTGGGGAAGTGAGTCTTGAGGACTGTTGGGGAAGTGAGCGCAGAAAATGGGGCCCAGACCTAGGGAGATGCGATCCACGCTCAGGGGCGCAGGGCCCGAGACGGGCGCGCTAGTCCTTTAAAGGGGGCGGCCAACCCGGGCCCGCAGGAGGAAGTCGTAAGTCAGGGCGGAAGTAGGGCTGCGGGAGGGCGGAAGTGGAGTGTTCCTCCTGCAATCATGGCGCAGGAAGTGGGAGACGATCGAGATTATAATTTGAATGAAAAGCAAAAGGCGATTAAGGCCAAATATCCTCCCGTCAATCGGAAGTATGAATGTGAGTAGGGAGCTCGCTTTTCTCCCCTCTTTATCGGGGGGTTTTCGTCCTCGGTTTTCCACTTTGCCGGGTGAGGTCTCCAGGCATCATCCCATCCCATTACAGTCTAGGGTGCTTGTTCGAGGGCTGCTTAAAAAAAAAAAACAAAAAACGAAATAAGCCTGCTTTGACAGTCCGGAAACTTGGACTCACGGATTGATGGCCTTGAACTTAACCACGTGTGCCCGATCACGATTATCTTGTGGAAATGTTACTAGTTTGTTCTGACGATGATCCAGTTTGCAAGAGTTTGTGGGGTTCTCAGTCCGTATCTCGAAAATTGGGGTGGCGAAGGTAGGTTAGAGGACTCAGAAAGGGAAGGACTAGGAAGGGAAGTAGGAAGGGAACACCAAATCTTCTTGGTGTTTACCTAGATTGTGTTATTGGTAAAAAGGCCTGGACCTGCCATTTATTTCCTCAGTGACTTCAAACTGACCCTGTGAGCTCTTTGCGTCGCAGTTTCTTACCTGAGCAATAAACGAGCTAATGAATGTGAAAGTACCATACAGACTCAACAGTTCTGTAAACGTTAAACTATCATATTTATTGGTGGCTGTGCTCTAGGAGCAGAAATAACTCTCTCTGCTCAAATTGGTCCTCTGTAAAGTACAGGTATTTGCATAACATACCAAGCTGTGTAACTTTCAGAGCCATGCACATCTCCCTAGCTTATTTTTAACTATAAGAGTTTTTTACTTTTTGTTTTGCTTGGGGCACATAACCCCAGGGTTGAGAGTAGTTACTCTAGGCATGGCGCTGGGGGACCAGGTGGTGTTGGGGACCAAATTTGGGGCTTGCAAGCAAAGCCTGCGCCCCAGCCTTTTGAACCACCTCCCCAAGTCCATAAAGACTGTTAAGGAAAAAAAAAAAGAAATTCAGGGCCAGAGAGATAGTTCATAGGGTAAGGCACTTGAATTGCACTCAGCCCACCAGAATTGGGTCTCCAGCATCCCATGTGGTGCCCCAAGGCAGGAGTGACTTCTGAACACCATGGGGTGTGGCCCCCAAACAAAAAACAAAATTAATAGAAGGAGGGTGTGTCTCATTGGTAGAGCTCTTGCCTTCCTGTGTGGACCTGGGCTGGATTCCCTGCAGCTGGGGGCAGCTCTGAGTGACCCACAAACAAACAAAAAGTAATAGGAAACATGTAATTCAGAATTCAGTATTTACGAGAGGTGTGCTCGTCTTTGAGCTCTGATTTTCCACACAGGTAGTTTTCTGGTGAAGGCCCAGCCCTCCGTGTTATTTTAATGTGTATATGCAAAATTGTTCTCAAATTTAACTTATTTAATCAACTACATTTGATGGACATTAGGATAGTTCTGCTCTTATTCTAATAAGTGTTATTCTAACAAGCCAGTTGTGTTTGTACTGTATATCCCTTGATTTTCATATCTGTAGCAACATTTTACAAGATAAATTACAGGCCTGAGCAATTGTACAACAGGTAGGGTGCTTGCCTTGCACGCAGCCAATCCAGGTTCAATCACCAGCACTCCATATGTTCCTCTGAGCACCTGCCAAGAGTGATCCCTGAGTGCAAAACCAGGAGTAAGCCTTGAGCACTTTGGGGGGTTGTCGCCACCCCCCCCCCAAAAAAATCAACTGCTTTGTCAGAGACTACTTTGAAATTTTTTGTCAGGTGTTAGAGACAGAGTACAGCACTTGGCAGACGCAGTTTCATCTCAGGCATCCCATATGAAGAAAATTCTTGCCAAATTGCTTTTGTTAGAGGTTCAAACTTAAACTCACACCAGCCTTGTATAATTGTGTCTCTTAGTTCACAATTATACACCACTTGAAAGATCAAAAACTATAGTAATTGTACTTTTCTTATTTATAAGTGAGGTTGAACATATTTTAGAATAGTTGGAGGTATTTGTATTTCTCCTTCTGGGATGTGTGTGTATGTATGATATACATGTACCCATATGTGCATATATACATATACACACATTTCCTCTTTTGGGATATATGTGTATGTATGCATATGTGTGTGTATATATATATATATATTTTTTGAACAAGATTATTGGGAGAGCGCAACAGACTGAGTATATACAGAGTATATACTGTTGCTTTGTATGCAAGAGACCTTGGGTTTGTCCCTGACACTGCATGTCCCCTCCTAGCACCACTAGAAGTGACTCAAGCAGAGCGGTGTGGCACCCCAAACAAAAATGCATTAAACAAGTGATAGTTGTTTTATTTAAAAGTACATTGATGGGGCTGGAGTAATAGCACAGCGAGTAGGGCATTTGCCTTGCATGCAGCCGACCCGGGTTTAATTCCTAGCATCCCATATGGTCCCCTGAGCACCACCAGGGCTAATTCCTGAGTGCAGAGCCAGGAGTAACCCCTGTGCATCGCCGGGTGTGACCCAAAAAGCAAAAAAATAAAAGTACATTTATGACTTCAACCTCACTACGAGGGGAATAATCTGCACTGCTCTGAGTTTGTTGAAAATGATGCCAAATGATAGACTCTACGACCACATAGGAGGGTTCTTGTGATTCTTAGGGTCTTGATAGCATACAAATCGGTCTTTCACTGTGAGATATTTTTTCCTTTGCTTCTCTGATTAAGTCAGCGCACACTTTCTCCGGAGATTTCACTTGGGACCTAGTTAGAATATGATTTTTTAAGAATTGCAACCTCTTTGGTATCTTTATTTACTTACTTTGAGCCACACCCAGCAGTTGGTGGGGGGGAAGAATCATATGGGGTGTCAAGGTTCAAACCAGGGTCAGCCATATGTGAGGCAAGCGCCTTAACCTTTGTACTATGTCTCCATCCCCATCTCTATGGTATCTCTAAAAACCACGGCTGTAGTAGTGGTCTTCTCACCTACCCGCGCCCTGAACAGAGAAGCTACTTTAAGTCAGAAGAGCTATAGGACAGGAGCAGTGCTACAGTCATAGCTGCATATTTAAAAAGTAAATTCCTATTTCTTTTGTTTTGGGGGCACGTCCTGCAGGACCTCTCTGGGCCAGGATTATACTATTATACTATTATAATAGTATAGATTATACTATTATAGATAGTCCCCTGGCAGTGCCTAGGGGACTATGCAGTGTTGAGCATTGAACATTGCCTCCTGTGTTAGTAAAGCTTGTGTTCGAGGTTGAACTCTATTGAGCTCTGTCCCCTGATGGAGTCTGTGAAAGGGAGAGTGAGGGGTGGGTTGTCCTCTGCTACAGCCTCTTAAGAGTCTCAGAAATGATCACAGGGGCTGAGTGATAGTACAGCAGGTAGGGCGTCTGCCTTGCTTGCTGCCTACCTTGGTTCAATCTTTAGCATCCCATATGGTCCCCTGAGTAACACCAGGAGTAATTCCTGAGCTGTGCGGGGTGTGACCCAAAAAGGAAAAAAAAAAAAAAGAACTGAATCACAAAAGCTGTCTGTTCTGCTTGGGAGGCTTAGTTGAAGGTCATGGGAGTTAGGATTCTGACCCCCGCCCAGGGACTGGGTGTTCTGATCATTACATTCTGGAGTCCTGGAGGAAAGAACTTTCTGTGTTAGAAAAGATACATATTCACAGTTAAGCCTTTCACCGTTTAGGCATTGATTGGAACAAAGAAAATTCTCCTTTTGGTGTTTGAACTTCCTCATGCACTGCAGTGGGTTGGGGTACACTAGGAATGTGTCCTCTGGTGCCACATGTCTTACACTTAGGTCACAGCTCTGGTGCAGGGATTTGGGTGAAGTTATATGGTGTAATTTTCATTTGATGTTTTTGAGTTTATGTTTGTATATTTATCAGTAGTTTGTCCTACCAAGAATAAAGCATTGTATTACTCAGTTTTATACTAAGATTCTTGAGGGTGTGTTTTTTTGGGGGGGGGATTAAGTTTTTGTTTTTGTTCTTGTTTTGTTTGGGGACCATACCTGGTGGTGATCAGGGCTTACTCCTGTCTCTGTGCTCAGGGGTCAGTCATAGTGATGCTGGAGATAGCAGTGTGCTAGGCAAGTACTCTACAGGCTTTATTTATTTATTTATTTATTTTTTGGCTTTTTGGGTCATACCCTGCGGTGCTCAGGGATTACTCCTGGCTCTGCACTCAGGAATTACCCCTGGCAGTGCTCAGGGGACCATATGGGATGCTGGGAATCGAACCCGGGTTGGCTGCGTGCAAAGCAAACGCCCTACCCGCTGTGCTATTGCTCCAGCCCCCAGGCTTTATTTTTTTTTGTTGTTGTTCTTGTATTTATTTGGGGGCAAGTGTTTGGCTCACACTGGGTTGTGTTCAGGGCTTATACTTATTCCTCCCTCTGCACTCAGGAATCACTCCTGATGGGGCTGAGATGGGAGTGGTGGGTGTTATGCAATGCTGGGGAGTGAACTTGGATTGGCCTCTTCAATACAAATATCTTACATCTCACCAGCCCCAAGACACTGAGTTTTTAACTCTGTGGAATAAAATTGCTATGAAACAAACTTTTGTCTTTTTTTTCAACATGGGTTGTTGGTTTTTTTGGTTTTGTTTTACTTTTTGTTTTTGCCACACCCAGTGATGTCCAGGGGTTACTCCTGGCTCTGCATTCAGAAATCACTTGTGGCGGTTCTCGGGGACGGGATGCTGGGGATTAAACCCAGGTCAGCAGTGTACAAGGCAAGCGCCTTACCTGCAGTACTATCGCTCTGTCCCTGTTTTGCTTTGTTTTGTTTTGTTTTGAGGGGGACACATACCTCATTGTGTTCAAGTGCTGCTTCTTGCTCTGGACTCAGGAGTGACCCCTTGGTGGTGCTCAGGGAACTATATGTGGTGCTGGTCACCACTGCCACAGCTACATGCAGGGCAAATGCCTTAACCCCTGTACTAGCTCTTTGTTTTGGGATATTAAATACTTGTTGCTATCTTTTAACTTTTTGGCCATCTCTTCTCTCTATTGAGCCCCTTAGTGCAAGGGTGGGAAACCTTTATAAGACCATTCGAGGACTATACATTACAGGCAGATGGGCCGCAAGCAGCCAGTGAAAAGCATGTGTCATCGTGAACAGGTCCAGCCCCATGACTTCCACGGCCTAGTCCAGCTCACATACAGGCCATTCTCCACTCCTGCCTTTGTGCCTAAAACATTAAGTCATTAAGTCCTTAGTGATATATTTATAAATTAGAGATAATTTTGAGTGGCGGTCTTTTTTTCCCCTTTTTGGGTCACACGGCATTTGCAAGGCAAATGCCCTACCTGCTGTGCTATTGCCCCAGTCCCAAGAAATGTACTCTTGTGGTCGGGGACCCACTAATGCCAGTGCCTCCAGGATCACGGTAGGCTTGTGGGGCAGGACTGAACTCATGCTTGCAAGGCAAATTAACTCAGCTACTCAGCCATCTCCCCTAGAACTGAAAGTTATTTTACCTAGTTCAAAAAACCAGAGTTACTTGCTTTGCCTGCAGAGGCCCCGCATTTGATCAGTGGCACACTGTGATCCCCCAGCACCGACCACTAGGAGTGACCATTGAGCACAATGCTAGGACACGCTGCCACCAGGAACACTGCTCCAGAAAATAACCCACAAAGCTACAGTATGAGGCCGGGGATATAGTTCACTGGTAGAATGCTTGCCTTGCATGTATGAGACTCTGAGTTGAAACCCCACCCTGGGAAAGTGGGGAAGGGGAGAATCCTATTTTATCTGCCCCAAATTAAGGAACTTGGGGCCAGAGCCATAGTACAGAAGTTAGGGTATTTTGCCTTGCACAGGTTCAATCCTCAGCACTCCATATGGACCCCCAAACCTACCAGGAGTGATTCCTGAGCATAGAGCTAGGAGTAAGCCCTGAGCACCAGTGAGTGTGCCCCCCCCCCAAAAAAAGTGGGAAACTTTAGATACAAGAAATGAGTCATTTAAAAACTTGATTCACACCAGAGGCTAGAACAATAGTATAGCAGGTAGGGCTTGAATACTGCTGACCCGGGTTCGATCCCTGTCATCATTGTGGTCCCCCTAGGACCACCAGGAGTAACCTGAGCATCGCTGGGCATGACCCAAAAAGTAATGATAATAAAATAAAATAGCTTGATTCTCACATAACACTTAAAATTTCAGCTAGGATTTGACGAGCTGTTCATGAAACTATAAAATAGGGAAAATTAAAATTTTATATTTTTGAGGATGTAATTCCTAGAATTTTCTAATCCATACAGTAGCAGTTTAGAAAAGATTATTGATTGTTGAACGCAGATATCTCATGACAGGAAATGACATTTGTTTATGGAGACAGTGTACTGTGTTTATTAGACACTTTTCGGTCTCCTTGAAGCTCGCTGCCTAAGCTCACTGTCATCATGACTGCATATGGGATTGCATAATTGAATGGGTCAGGGACAATCTGGCAACTGTACAAAGTTTCTGAACATCCAGTAACTAAAAATTATTACAAAATCAGCTGCAGAAGGCATTCTGAGGTGTTCCTGGCAGCTGCACACCCATGTTGCATTTCTAAGAGGCCTGGACTGAGAGCCTTGTTCCTCCTGCTGTAGAGCTTTTGATTCAAATATAAATTTTGGCAAAGCAGTAGAATATATTGTGTAAGGGGTTGGCAAAATAATATGATCTCTTCCATATATTTTTGCTGCTCTTCAGGGAATAATTGTTCTTAATAATGAACTAGTTTGCCTTCTGAGGGGTCAAGTTGAATGACATAGGTGTTTTTTTCTCTCCCTCAGATTTGGATCATACAGCAGATGTCCAGTGAGTACAGCTGGAGTTAATGCTTTTGTAACTGTCCCTCTACAGGAAGGCTGACTTTGGGCCACACTGGCATTGGTGGGGACTGTGCGGTGTTGGGGATGGACCCCAAGGCTCCTGCGTGTGGCACCTGCACTCCAGTGCTTCGAGCCCTCTCCTTGACCCAGGAAGGGCTTGTTTGAACCATGATTTTCCTAGTATTAAATTTTCTTTCTTAATTTTTTTTTCTCTTTGTTTTTGGGCCACATTGGCACTGCTGCAGTGCTCAGGGGTTACTCCTGGCTCTGCACTCAGGAATCACTCCTGGTGGTGTTCTAGGGATCATATGGGATGGCTGGGAATCAAACCCAGGTTGTCTGCATGCAAGACAAGTGCCTTACCCACTGTACTATTTCTCTGGCCCCCCTATTATTAAATTTTCTAATTTGGTTCTCTTCCATCATAAAAATGACCCTCTAATTTGAGTCCTTTAATTTCATCCTGAAATTGGTTTTGGCTTGATTTTGCAGTCAAGTTTTTTTTCTAATGGCTGAGGCGATCACATGGGGCATGGGTGTCTTTCTTTAGGTTACATGCCTGGGGAGACACCCTGGAAGAAGCGTTCGAACAGTGCGCCATGGCCATGTTTGGCTACATGACAGACACCGGCACTGTGGAGCCCCTCCAGGCAGTAGAAGTCGAAACCCAAGGTAACCATTTTACTCACAAGGAAAAAACTGTTATGTCTGGTGTGTTTCTCAATAAGAACGAAAGAGCGTCTTTTTCTTCTTTGACCCAGCAAAGAAATTCATTGTGATTTAATGCTTAAATGAGTGTTCAAAGATGAGTTTTAGACATCATGCTGTTATGCTCTTTTTCCTTCATCCTTTGTAGGAGATGACTTGCAGTCTCTTCTCTTTCACTTTTTGGATGAATGGCTTTATAAGTTCAGTGCTGACGAGTACTTCATACCCCGGGTAAGCAAGCCATTTTCTTTTTTGCAGGGTGGAGGAGGTGGTGGTTGGGCTTTTGAACCATACCCAACTGCACTCAGGAGTCAATCCTGGATGTGATCAGAACCGTATGTGGTGCTGAGGATTCAACCAGGTTGCCAAGAAGCAAGGCGAATGCTTTAACCCCTGTACTAGCTCTCTGGCCCTAAGCAAGGGATTTTGATATTTACTAAACCTTCTTAGTAGCCCTAGAAGCTCTCTGGTAGATAATTTATAAAGGAAAAGCTTTTTAAAAATATATATTCAGGGGCTGGAGCGATGGCACAGCGGGTAGGGCATTTGCCTTGCACATGGCCAACCCGGATTCAATTTCCAGCATCCCATATGGTCCCCTGAGCATTGCCAGGAGTAACTCCTGAGTGCAGAGCCAGGATGTGACCCCTGTGCATTGCCAGGTGTGATCTAAAAAGAAAAAAAAAATTCAAAGAAGCTATTCTTTGTGTCCCAAAGACTTTAGTTTAGCCAAGCTAACTAACAGCTACTAAGAAGATTTAGTAAAAACTAACCTTTTTTTTGGGCCACACTCTGCCAGACTCAGGGCTTTCTCCTGGCTCTGTGCTCAGGGATCAATCCTGGCAGAGCTGGGGGACCCAATGTCATAACCTAGGATAGAATCCAGGTCTCCCGTGTGTGCAAGGTAAGTGCCTTCCAGGTCTTACTAGCTGACGATATCTGGCCCCTTTTTGTTTGACTATTTTTAATTATGGGAGCCACACCGGGTGATTCTGAGGACTGGAGCTTGGGGGAGAGGAGTTCAGTGCCAAGGATCCAAACCCAGAACCTTGCACACGTGCAGCCTGTGTTCTGCCACTTGAGCCACTCCCAGGCCTCTTCATTTGTCTTACAAAACAAGCCACATGATGCAAAATAAAGTCTGTAGTTATGAAAGATGATAATGACTTGCACGTAAATGTGTTCATGCATGCATGTGTGCACGTACACATGCATGCATTTTGTATTTACATCATGGTTATGGGGACCAGAGAGTTAGTACAACAATTAGGAAGTTTATACTTATTACTGACCCTGGTTCAGTCCCATGTATGGCACATGGTCTCCTGACAGGTGATCCCAGAAATAACCCCTGAGTATAGAGCTAGGCACGGCCAGAAGTGCTCCAGACAGTATCTTTCACTCATAAAGAAAAGACTGAAAAAATTAATGGCAATTTAAATCTCTATCTTACAGAGAAATTTTTTTTTTTGCTTTTTGGATCACACCCAGCAATGCTCAGGGGTTACTCCTGACTTTACAATCAGGAATTACTCCTGGTGGTGTTTGGGGGACCATATGGGATGCCGGGGATCAGACCCAGGTCGGCCGCATGCAAGGCAAATGCCCTACCTGCTGTCCTATTTCTCTGGCCCCCAGAGAAATTATTTTGACTTACGGTTTTAGTTTGTACATTTTCCAGGAAAAGCTTCTTTGAATATATATTTTTAAAAAAACTTTTTCTTTATAAACTACCAGAGAGCTTATAGGGCTAGAGCACGTGCTTTGCATGCAGGAAAGAGAGCTTTGCACTCTCTCTCTCTCTCTCTCTCTCTCTCTCTCCCCCCTCCCTCTTTCTTCCTCTCCCCCCCTCTCCCCTCTCCCCCCCCCCCCCCCCCCCCGCCCCGTGCCTAAGTTCTGGGCTTACCCCTGGTTTTGTACTCAGAGCTCAGAGCTCATTCCTGGTGGGGCTCCAGATATGGTATCAGGAATCAAAATGGGCTGGTGGTGTGCAAAGCAAGTGCCTTACCCACTGTACTCTTTGGCTCCGACATATAGTTCTTATTCTGTTTTAGCATTTTAATTTCTTCACTTCAGAGAGATTCGTTATTATTTTATTATATTTTTGCTTTTTTGGGTTAGGCTGGAGCGATAGCACAGTGGTAGGGCGTTTGCCTTGCACGCAGCCAACATGGCCGACCCGAGTTTGATTCCTCCGCCCCTCTCGGAGAGCCCGGCAAGCTACCGAGAGTATCTCGCCCGCACGGCAGAGCCTGGCAAGCTCCCCGTGACGTATTTGATATGCCAAACACAGTAACAACAAAGTCTCCAATGGAGGCGTTACTGGGCCTGCTCGAGCAAATCGATGAACAACTGGAGGGCCTTTACCTTTACCTTTTTGGGTCACACCCGGCAATGCACAGGGGTTCCTCCTGGCTTTGCACTCAGGAATTACTCCAGGCGGTGTTCAGGAGACCATATGCGATGCTGGGAATTGAACCTGGGTAGACCACGTACAAGAAAAACACCCTCCCCAATGTACTATTGCTCCAGACCCCATGTTATTATTTCTAGAAAAGGTGAAAACTTAGACATGTTTTGATAGGTGGTCTGTTAATTGTTTTTTTTTAATGAATTTTTTTTTGTCCCCTTTAGGAAGTGAAAGTCCTTAGTATTGATCAAAATAATTTCAAATTACGGTCAGTTGGGTAAGTTTTGAAATTCTTTTAAGTGGCAAGTCATGGGAGTGTTTCAGTTGTGTTCTTTGCCAGATTCTGTGGGCAGGAAGACAGATACATTAGGTTAAAACCAGTTCCAGTAACATATCTCTCTGAAGTGAAGAAATTAAAATTTGCAAGTTAAGGTTTTGGGAACACCTGGGAACTAGGCCTCATGTCAGCATTGGACCAGAAGTTTGTCAGAACAGAGTTGATTCTGATTGTTAGACTTGATTCCCAATTTGTTGACTTTCAGCATACACCCAAACAATAGTGTATCATAGATATAGATACATGACACTATATATAACATACATACACACATATGTATATATGTGTGTGTAGATAGATAGATAGATAGATAGATAGATAGATAGGTGTCCCAGCTACTCCCATAACATCTTTATTGGTTAATGGGAAACACTGATGCTAGTATAGTCTCACTTTGTACTAAAAGAAGTTCCATTTGTTTACAAATTATACTTTCTTTTTGGGTTTGCAAACCCTAACGGTTATTCTGATTGACTTTGGTATTACTCAGATTTTTTCATTCACTTAATGATATCTTAGCTTTTCCTCTCATGTAGGATAACATTGTTTTGTCCTTCCTGGACTTTCTTGTATTGTTTTGTCCTTCTTGGACTTTCTAGTATTCTAATCACACTTATACAGCTTATTCGTGGAGGTAGGGGTATTGGGTCACATCTGGAAATACTCAGTAATTACTCTTGGCTCTGGCATGTGCTCAAATGTCACTCCTGGCAGTGCTCAGGGGACTATATGTTGATGCTGGGGATCAAACCAGGGTTAGCTACATATAAAGCAAGCACCTTAATCCCTGTGCTGTCGTTCTGATCTCTATAATATTATTTTAAAATAATAAGGAGAGGGACTAGAATGATAGAACAGTGAGGAGGGCATTTGCTACCCGAGTTAGATCCTGGCACTCTGTTTGGTCCCCTAAGCCCATCTGGAGTGATCCCTGAGTATGGAGCCAGGAGTAAGCCCTGAGCACTGCCAGGTATGGCCCCCAAACAAAACAACAACAAAAAAAAGATAAGAAAGAGAACCAGAGAGATAGTACAGTGGGTAGAGCGCTTGCCTTGCACATGGCTGACATGGGTTTGATCCCAGCACCCCATATGGTCACATGAGCACTAGAAGGAGTAATTCTTGTGTGCAGAGCCAGGGGTAAACCCTCCAGTGTGGCCCAAAACAAAACATTAAATAAAAAGTTCATGGAGTGTGTGTGTGTGTGTGTGTGTGTGTGTGTGTTTGTGTGTGTGTGTGTATGTGTGTGTTTCTGTCTGTCTCTGTCTGTCTGCCTGGGGAAATAGTTCAGGAAGTAAGATAGTTGTGTTGCATGTGTCTGTGTCAGCCTTGACCTGGTATGAATCCCGGGCACCATGTATGATCCCTTGAGCACTGCCAGGGCTCACTCTTGAGTACAGCACTGCTGGATGTAACCCAGAAACAAAAAATAAAGAAAATATGTGAAGAGAGAACAAATGTTAAGTCTTTGACAAATATTAATCATGTTTTAATTTTCTTTCTCAAGGTGGGGAGAAGAATTTTCATTATCTAAGCATCCTCAGGTATGTTTTAAAATCCAACCATTGAAAACATTTTATATTTCCTTACCATAAAGTTCCTGTATGTGACAAAACCTAACTAATCCTCACAAATTGTTGTAAAATGATCAGTTTTTCTTGGACTACCTGGCCTGTCTGGACATACCATGTTGGGAACTAATTTTATCACCTGCCTGAGTGGATTAGGATTTCATTCTAAGAATACTAGGGTTCTAAGAGTCAGGTTTGTTACAGATTGTCAGTGGGACTTAAAAAGTTCCTTTGCGTTAGGGCTGGAGCAGTAGTATAGCAGGTAAGACATTAGCCTTTCATATGCCCGACCCAGGTTCGATCCCTGGCTTCTCATACGATTCCCTGAACCATGCCAGGAGTGATCCATGAGCACTGCAGGGTATGGCTCCAAAACAAAAAAGTTCCTTTGCTTCCTTAAGCTCTCTGCCATCTCCAGAGGTCTGGGCTCCTGGGCAGTGGCTGCTGTCATTACACCAACACCTAGAGTTCTACCAACTGAGCTATCAAAGGAAACCAAAAATGCTTTCCCTGAAGCGCACACTAGCTTCTGTATTTGACAGGCAAATCTTTTTCTGAAATGGGCAAGATAATGTTTTAAGCTTTGTGAACTGTGAGCAATAGAAGAGAGCCACTCAGCTCTTTTTTTTTTCTTTTTGGGTCACACCTGGTGATGCACAGGGGTTACTCCTGGCTCTGCACTCAGGAATTACTCCTGGTGGTGCTCAGGGGACCATCTGGGATGCTGAGAATCAAACCCCGGGTTATCCGTGTGCGAGGCAAACACCCTACCTGCTGTGCTATCTCTCCAGCCCCTCAGCTCTTTTCTTAACAACACAAAAGCAGTCACCATTCATGCATGTGAATGAATATGTTTATGTTCTACTAATTAGAACCTTACTTATATATGTTTCCAGTTATTTTCATAACATAACGAAATGTTATGAGAGAAATTTTTTTTTATTCCCTTCCCCAAAGCATTTGGAAGTGGAAAGAACTTTTTAGCTTGAGAGATTATACAAAACCAGATTGCAATCCAGATTTGGTTCATGATTTGTTGTTTTCCCCACCTTGTGATTATTTTAGACTGATGAATCTTAAATTGGAAGTGACTGAGAAATCCTAGTTGGTTCCAATAACTGCAGTATTATTTCTTTAGCTCAATATAATGAGGTGAAGTATGGTGAGGGACCTTTGGGAAAAGTATTTAAAAATCTTTGTGTTGGGGGGATGTTTGGGATTTCTTTTAGAAGTCTGTAGTCTAAGTGATGTAAAGTGAGCGTCTCTTAAATGGCGTTGGTAGTTAAAAGTATTCGCCTATAAATTCTGGAATTAGTTGTGCCTGGAAATATAAATACTGGAGTTGTTGTTGAGTAAATACTTATAATCTTAGAACTAGAAAGGATTACACAGGAGGAAGTACAAATAAGGGGACTTGAGCATGCAGCTTTAAGTTTAGAAGAGAAGTTTAGAAGAGAAGGATGTGAAAGGAAGAGAGTGCAGGGGTAAAAGAACCAGGTTTCCCTGGAAGCCAGATATCTAACGTGATAGGTGTTGCTCGTATGATCGGAAAGATTCTGAGGTGGGGGCCAGGGAAATAGCTCTACAGGATGGAGTGCCTGCGAGCAATGCGCGTCTGGGTTCCATCCCTGTCATCACATGTTCCGCTGACCACCCTTCAGCAGCAGCCCCTGAGCACAGCCTGGAGGAGCTTCCTAGCACCTTATGGCGTGGCCCAAAACAAAAAGATGAAAAATGCTACAAATTGGTTATGAATTTGCTAACCAGTGGAGTCACTGTCACTGTCACTATCACTGTCCTCCCGTTGTTCATTGATTTGCTCGAGTGGGCCCAGTAATGTCTCCATTGTGAGACTTTGTTACTGTGTTTGGCGTATCGAATATGTCACCGGTAGCTTGCCAGGCTTTGCCGTGCAGGCGAGATACTCTTGGTAGCTTGCCGGGCTCTCCGAGAGGGGTGGAGGAATCGAACCCGGGTCGGCCGGGTCAGCTGTGTGCAAAGCAAATGCCCTACTGCTGTGTGATCACTCCAGCCCTACCAGAGAAGTAATGTATGTAAATATTTTTGATGACCAAAGAGGAAACAGGAAAGTAGAGGGTGATTCTTTGAAGAATTTGCAGGCAAGGGGACTGGAGATGATAGTACACGGGTTGGGCACTTGCCTTGCATGTGTCTTACCTTGGTTTATAAGGTCCCCTGAGCCCCCCCCCCCCCCCAATGATCTGGAAATGAGCACAGATCCAGGAGTAAGCCCCAGCACCATTGGGTGTGGCCCAGCTCCACTTATCTCCTCCCCCCCAAATAGAACTTGAAGGACAAGATAACAACATCTGGAAAAGGAGAGGTTTTTTTTGACTTGTCTGCCTTGTTTTAGCTAGGACATTCTATAGCACTGCTGTATGCTGTATGGAAATAATAATGGAACTTGGAAATTTTATAGAAGGATTTGAATGGCAGTTGCCTTTCAAATTAAATTTAAAATTAAATTTAAAAATTTAATTTTTTTCTTTTTTTCTTTTTGGGTCACACCCGGCAATGCACAAGGGTTACTCCTGTGCATTGAACCTGGGTCGGCTGCATGCAGGCAAATGCCCTACCCGCTGTGCTATTGCAAATTGGAAATTTTTGATCATGTCAGACAAGAGTAATTGCAGAGCAAAAACCTTAAGTCAGGGGCTGGAGAGATAGCACAGCGGGTAGGGCGTTTGCCTTGCACGCGGCCGATCCGGGTTTGATTCCCAGCATCCCACATGGTCCCTTGAACACCGCCAGGAGTAATTCCTGAGTGCAGAGCCAGGAGTAACCCCTGTGCATTGCTGGGTGTGCACAGAAAAAAAAAAAAAACCCTCAGGTCAGTAAGGAGGGGCACAGGATCGAAGGTTGAAGTAGCATGGGCCACCTTCCATAGAGCAGGGTCCCCTTTGTAGTGGGAGGGAAGAGTACAGACCGTGAGTACAGGTTTATTGGGGTTGCTGATTTGCTGGAGGAAGATGAGTCACTCTTACTGAGTGGTCTCATTTTCTCTCAGTCACAGTTTTAACTGAGGGTGGGAATGAGGGAGGGATTCTGAGGCGGAGTCATGGAATGTTCTCAGATTGAGGAGTGTCATTAGGGGCCACATTGGTATGGTTGATCGGTGCTGAGTTCCCTTTTCAGGCCGCTCCAGCTCGCACAATATGTGGTACCAGAATGTGGAATTTGATTTGGGTTTTGATTTTGAGCGGAGATTATGGCAGAAGGGAACAAAGCTAGGGCAATTGCCATTCAAATCCTTCTATGAAATTGTCAGACTTCCTTTGCTGTGGAGCTAGCAATGTGTTTTGTGGTGTCTCGATTTATGGTACATTCTTTTCTAAAACTGAAACTAGTGAACAATGTCAAGCGAGCCATACCCGGATGGAGATGAGGCTGGGATGAGCATTCATCGCCCAACTCCACTTCATTGCTTTCTTCTGTGCCCGAGCTGCCTCACACTTTCATTCCATCAGCGTATCACAGAATCCTGGTGCTCATTGTTTCATAAGGTTGTTGTTTTTCAAATAACGTGAAAATATTTTCTGCCAGTAGTTCTAAGAGTTATGAGACTGATATCACTGTTCTCCCTCTTCTTTTTCTGTAACCCCTATACTAGGGAACTGAAGTCAAGGCGATAACATACTCAGCAATGCAGGTGTATAATGAAGAAAAACCAGAAGTTTTTGTCATCATTGACATTTAAGATACCAAATAAGAAAACATGAAAGACACTCCAACGAGAAGAGTCTTCCTTTTATAGAAGATACTGTAATATAAATTCTACTGTGTCAGTTGATTGTGGAAATGGACTTTGTTGTTCTCTTTTTTTTTTTTTAAATCTGAAGCGTGAATCTCAGAAGTGAAAATATCAGGGCACAGCATTGGCCTATGTTACTCAAGTGTTCAAACATTTAAAAATTCCTCTCATGGGGCTGGAGCCATAGCACAGCAGGTAGGGCGTTTGCTTTTGCACGCAGCCAACATGGCCGACATAGGTTCGATTCCCAGCATCCCATATGGTCCCCCAGCACCGCCAGGAGTAATTCCTGAGTGCATGAGCCAGGAAGAACCCCTGAGCATCGCCAGGTGTGACCCAAAAAAATTAAAAAAATAAATAAATAAAAATTCCTCTCATGGCAAGTATGGTTCCCCAGGTGTTACCTCTCAGATGCAGCAGCATTCCACCTTTCCAGTGGGAATACAAGCCCCGAAGCCTGCTCCTCAGAGGGATCCCACATATAAGCAGCACTCCAGGAAACCACAAAGTCTTTGCGCTCATTTAAATCCACTTTGAAAGAAAAGAATTTTAAAAAATTTAAATTTTTTAAAGAAAGAATAATTTGAGAAATCCAACATCCAGGATTTTACTTTTCTTCCATATTTTTGATATATATATATATATATATTTTTTTTTACATGGACATTAAAAACAGGTTGTGGTTTCTTTTTAATTATGTGTGTGTATATGTGTGGTGGTGCCGGGTATCAAATCCAGGGCCTTACATATGTAAGCACTGCAAGTGTTTTTCCACTGAACTACATTCCTAGCCCCCAAAGAGCTTGAGTTTAAATTTCTTTCTTTTCTTATTTTTCTTGGGTTAAACCCAGCAATGCACTCAGGAATTACTGCTGGCGGTGCTCGGAGGACCATATGGAATGCCAGGGATCGAACCCGGGTCAGCTGCATGCAAGGCAAACACCCTACCCACTGTACTATCATTTCAGCTTCCATTTTGAGTTTTAAATTGTATAGGATAGAGGGGGGAAATGCCCACCATCCTATATTCCATTTGGTTTTCATAGAAGAAGTAATTGTATTTGAATAATTGAAGACTTTTCTTCTAGAAAAAGCCCTGAGTTTTTCCCTCTCACTTTTGATGCATTGATTTTCCCATAAGAGTTTAGTGTGCATATAAATTGACCTTTCCAGGGCGGGAGAGCCAGGACATGGGTAAAGTGCTTGGTTTACACATGGCAGACCCAGGTTGAATCCCTAACAACCTGAAGTAAACCCTGAGAACAACTGGATGTAGGCCAAATATCCAAAACAAAAATTGTTTCCTTTTCCCTTGCCTTTTGCTGTTCACTGACCAAGAGTTGCACACACTTTTGCCATGCTTGTGGGAGTTTAGGGTCCTACATTGGTCCTGGTGCACCAGAGATCATGAATATGCCATGCTGAGGATCACAAACCAAAGTGCCAGGGGTCAAACATGCTGCAAGGCTGATACTATGCTGAGCATCCCTGACCCGTGATTTTAATAACCTTAACTATCACTACCATAAACATAATACTACTGTAACTGCATTTTCTGAACTATGATAATAAAATTTTTATAAATCAAAAAGTGTTTACCTTAGCTATTCATTCCTACCCAGAAAAGGTTTTTAAATGATCTGAACTTTCAAAGAAAATAGTTTTTTTTAAAAAAAATGAGTGTGTTCGATTTGTAACCACCCACTCCATGTTGACTGAGGTATTCACTCTTATGATTCAGGACTTTTTTGTTTTAAAAAAAGTAAAAACATTTGAAGGCTTTTAGGAAGGGATGGAGGGAGAGAAAGAGAGTAACACACTCAAGAGAGAACTCAGGCTTCTCCAAAGACTGAGAGAGACCCTACACACATCCCAGCATTAGATAGGAAAGCATGAAAGAACATTTCTAGGGGGGAGATGTGGGCACATGTGCTCAGACATGTGAGCACAAAGAGAGTACAGAGACTTGGGCAGGATATGTGCCTGATTCAGGAATTTGTAGGGAGGCTGATAGTATAGCCCTGTGGTGCCTTCTGCACGTGGCTGACTTAGGCTCAATTCCAGGTACTGCGTGTGACCCCCTGAGCACGACCTGGAGTGATCCTTAAAGACAGAGCCAGGAGGGTGGCCCCAAAACAAAAGAATTTATAAGCTTATATTCTAATTTCCAATGAGAAAAGATTGCCTTGTTACGAGTATTCTTTCTGAGCATTACTTATTTCTGGGTTAATGGAAAGTAGAGGAAATAAAGTCTAGGCCGATCAGTGGTTTAGAGACCAGAGACTTTCTGGTTGTTCTATCTCTCACACTATATATGATCCCCAAGTCCCACAAGAAGTGAACCCTAATAGCCGGGTGTGGGGAAAAAAAAAGCCTATGATTTTGAAAGTAGCTCTTAACATACAGAAATAACACTGGGATTAGTACCTCTTTTTTTTTTCAAAGTTTATTTTTATAAAGTTGTTCATAATAATTGATTACATTCCCACCACCACTCAAAACTTCCACACAGGCAGATGCTAGATAATTTTGTATTGCCTATTTTGAATAGTATGAGATGTCTGTAAGGGTCTCACAGTGATTGAACAAAAATGTAAAAAAAAAAAAATAGTATGAGATGTTGCACGGCTGCTTTTGCAGCTGCGCGCTCCTGGAATTTTAAAACTTTAAATAATTGGGGTGTGGAAGCATCTCTGTAGCAAGTTGCTCAGTTCCAAAATTCATTTGTGAGTCTCTGGATGATGGCCATTAATGCACTTAAATGGCACCCGGAGGCAGTTCGTGGGCATGATTGCAAGGACCCCGGGAGGGCAGGGAAATGGGAAGGGGTGGCCCAGTCCCGACCCCTTGAGGCCTGTCATTTTCAGTCACTGGCCTCAGCCTTTTTGTTTTTCTTAGCACATTTGGTAAATCTCGTTTTCATTTTTTGAGCCACACCCAGTGATGCTTGGGGCTTACTCCTGGCTGTTTTGCTCAAGGTGCTAACCGGTGCATAACCGGTGCTGGGATTGAACCTAGGTCAGTTGCGTGCAGAGCAAGTGCCCTAGCAGCTGTGCTGTTTCTCTATCACCAACATTTTGTAAGTTACCTGTGGCCCTCCAAGCAAAAAACGTTCAGAAGAACCTCTGTGTCTGTTGTTAGAATGAATTTCCAGACAAGTGAACTATCACGGGCCAGGGCTGGGGTGGGCAGTTATTGATTGAAATGAACAGAATTGAACAATGGAATGCTATGTAAGCCACAAGAAGTTGAGCCATATGCTGGGCCCCTTCTTCCTGATTTTTTTTTGCAGGGGTCGAGAGGAAGGTGCACACCTAGCGGTTATTCCTGGCACGGGATAAGGGATCACTCCTGGCAGTGATCAGATCATATCGGGTACCAGATTCAATCCCCAGTTAGCCATGTGCAAAGTAAGCACCCTATCCTCTGTATCATATCACTCCAGGCCCCCTTCTTCCTGACTTATGCCAAATATTTTTTCTTAAATTTTGGTTTAAACAGTATAGTTTAATAGGGTTTGTTATTTGCAATCATCACTATTCCCAATTCAAGAATATCTATACCCAGTCCCTTCTAGGCAGTCCCCTCCATTTCCAGCCCAAGGCCATCATAAAGCTTTCTATTCTGTAGATGTGTGTTTTATTGTTTTGCAAGGAGCCACAATGAGTGGTTCTCAGGGCTTAGTCCTGACTACACTCAGAGATCACTCCTGGCGGGGCTTGGGAGACCATATGTGGAATGAAGGATCAAACCTGGCTCCGGTGCAGGCAAGACAAACACCTTACCTGCTGTACTATCTCTATCGTCCATGTAGATCATGTATTTTGTAGCCCAGATTATTAGCTGTTAACTTTGGTCATTTAAAAAAATTTGGCAGGGGGAGGGGGGACGGGAGGCAGAGTGATAGTTCAGTGGGTAGTGTGTTTGCCTCGCACTCAGCCGACCTGGGTTCGATCCCCGGCATCCCATATGGTCCCCCAAGCACCACCAGGAGTAATTCCTGAGTGCAGAGCCAGGAGTAACCCCTTAGCATCACTGGGTGTGACCCAAAAAGCAAATAAAAAATAAAAATAAATTTAAAAAATTTTGGGTGGTAGGGGGGTAGGCAGCCCCAGCAGTGCTCATGGCTTACTCCCTTATTCGAATCACTCCTGATGGGGCTCAGAGGACTATATGGGGTACCAGCTTTTGAACCCGGGTTGGCTGCACTATCTCTCCGGTCCCAACTTTGGCCATTTTCAGTACTACTGAAAACTCCTAGAAGCAAAATTTTGGGCTCATTCAACCTGTTTGACCTCTGCTTTCTGGGGTCTTCAGTTTTGGTGAAATGTTTAGGCACAATTGAAATGTATGACTAAATTGCATAAAAGTTCCTAAAGTCAAATGGTGCTGGAAAGGTGCACTGGTGGTGGGACTGGTGTTGGAATAGTGAATGTAATAAATCATGAACAACTTTATAAAAATAAAATCTAAAAATTAAAAAAAATTAAGTTCCTTAAGTCAATATATGTAGTCACAGTTACCCTTTCAAGTATCTTGAAGTCGAAGAGATAGTACAGCAGAGAGGGCACTTGCCTGGCATGTGGCAAACTCGGGTTCCATCTCTGGCACTCCATTCGATCCCCCAGGCCCTGCCAGGAGTGATTCCTGAGTGTAGAGCCAAGAGTAACCCCTGAGCATTGCCAGGCGTGGCCCCACAACAAAAACAAACAAAATATATCTTAGTACTGAGTCCCTTTCTAGTGTAACATCTAACTTGAATTAGAATGTTTTAGTGCAGTGCCCTGATGGGATTCTGATGTGCAGCAATCAAGCTTCATACATAGCACTGGAGAGCGCTCTGCTTTCCTTTTCAAAGGAAAACATTAAAGCTTGCAAAATTGCAGGATATAATATTTCAGTCATGTGTTCCTAATATAGTTCTTTAATGGTCCGAAGTACTGAGTGAATTCCCAAAATGCATTTCCCATAATCAAATAAAATACAAATGCATTCCAAAGTAGAAGTTGGCTATTTTAAGACTTCGCACTGATTTGGAATATTCATATTATTTGTTCCTAACAGATGTGCTAGATAAGAGAACAAACACAGTAACTTGAAATTTCATAAAAATTACTTTTTCTGGAGCTGGGAATGATTTTTGTTGGTGTTGTTTTTTGTTTTCTGTGTGCTGGGGTTTGAACCTTATACCTCTCTGGCCCTGAGCATGAGTAATTTTTAAATTTTCCCTTAAGAAATAAGCATGGTGTGTTCACTTCGGCAGACATATACTAAAATCGGAACGATACAGAGATTAGCATGGCCCCTGCGCAAGGATGACATGCAAATTCATGAAGCGTTCCATAGTTTTAGCACAGCGGGTAGGGAGTTTGCCTTGCATGCGGCCAACCCGGGTTCGATTCCCAGCGTACCATATGGTCCACTGAGCACTGCCAGGAGTGATTCCTGAGTGCAGAGCCAGGAGTGACCCCTGTGCATTGCTGGGTGTGACCCAAAAAGCAAAAATAAATAAATAATCAGGGACTGGAACAATAGTACAGTGGGTAGGGCATTTGCCTTGCACGCAACCAACCCAGATTTGACCCACAGCACCCCATATGGTGCCCCAAGCACCGTCAGGAATACTTCCTGAGTTCAGAGCCAGGAGTAACCCCTTAGCATCAATTAGTGTGCCCCGCCCCCCCCCAAAAAAATTCCCCTATGGTAGGATTGAGTGGGCAGAAATGTTAGTTTTTTGCTTTTCATTTTTGGGCCACACCTGGCTGTGTTCAGGGATCACTTCTGGTGGGCTCAGGGAACCATATGGGGTGCTGGGGACTGATCCCAGGTTGGCTGCATGCAAGGAAAGAGCTCTGCCACTGTGATTTCAATCCAGCATCAGATTAGATATTTGTCTGCCCATCTCTAGCATCTTTCGGGGAGAACTGAGGGAAACCGAGAGTAGAGAACCTATTTGGCACATTAAAACAAACAAAACAAACACTGTCCTCCCGTTCATCGATTTGCTCCAGCGGGCCCAGTAACGTCTCCATTTTTGAGATTTGTTGTTACTGTGCATGGCATATTGAATACGTCACGGGTAGCTTGCCAGGCTTTCTCGTGCAGGTACGATACTCTCAGTAGCTTGCTGGGCTCTCTGAGAGGGGCGGAGGAAACGAACCCGGCTCAGCTGGGCTGGCTGTGCGCAAGGCAAATGCCCTACCACTGTGCTAACGCTCCAGCCCTGGCACTTTTTTTTTTTTAAGAAAGCACTGAGGAGCAGAAGGTGACAGAGAGCACAGGGATTAGGATCCTGCCTGTGTGGATCAGGATTGCATGCTGCCGACTGTATCTGTTCGCAGAAACACATGCCAGAAGTGGCCCCTCAAAGAGCGATAGTACAGCGGGTAGGGCATTTGCCTTGCACGTGGCTGACCCGGGTTCAATCCCCAGCCTCTGAGATGATCCCCCAAGCACTGCCAGGAGTAATTCCTGAGTGCAGAGCCAGGAGTAACCCCTGAGCATCGCTGGGTGTGACCTCCCCCCAAAAGAAAGAAGAGGACCCTGAGTGTGCCCCCCCAAAATAAAAATA